CCGGACGTCCTTGTGCGTTTCGATTCAGTTTGGACTTGGACAAACATTATTGCTCGTTGACATTTCGAAGTCAGCCGTGGAACTATAAATTGTAAAATAATGTATTATTACAGTAATACGTATATATATAAAATACTTATGTGCGTATAAGATGTACCTATTATGAATAGACACTATTTTACGACCGTGTCCTCGGGTGACTGCAGCAAGACTTATATACCGCAGCTAAATGTAGGCGCCGAGGACGAGTCCCATAATACTCGCTTATACTTGGAATACAATTTAATTTATACTATATATTCGTGTAAATATACCTATATTAAATTATACAGTTAAATACCGTTTTTGTCACTTCATTCAAACGTTTTCAATATAAGCGCCTATATAGGTATTGGTGATTGTATAGGTCGTGACTTTATTATGTTCTGTGCACACGATGTCATAAAATACGCGTGCCTACCCATTATACACTCGTAAAGTAGGCATAATAATATATTAATATACCTATAGGCTATATAGTACATTTACCTACCTGTTTGTAGATATACCGTATACAGCTGCATTAGGTAGGTATACAGCTGTAAACACTAAACATTCAATCGATTCGGTGTGATAAAGTACTATTGGGTATTTTATAGGTACTACGGTTTTTTTTATATCAGAATGTTTTATACCATATACGCGGGATATGGATGTCCGTGTTGCAGAGATAGGACAGATCGATAGAAACGATTAATAAAATATTATACTGTGGTTGGTGGTGCAATAATATTGTCAATTATATAATATTATGTGAAAATTAAATTATTATTTATTATTCACTATTATTTCATTCAAAATGAATATATGTTTTTCTTCTCTATTGCGTTTGTACAAAGTATACCGAGAATAAATTACGATTCGAGTGACATTGAGTGCTTGTGGCTAATTTATGTGAAAAGTTAGTTTCGAAAATGTTTATATTTTTATCGAAAAAAATAAAAACTAAAATACGAACAAGAAAAACCAAATATAAAAATAACAGAAAATGCAAACGTGAACACTAAACCTAGAATTTTGAGGCTGAGAACTTCATATATTATCATATTTTTTCCAGCACATACAATTTATAGTTTTATAATATATTATGTAGTTAAAACATAAATTCATATAATACTTGGTTTCATGGTCTCACTAATGTAAATATATAATTTTTAGATACGCACATTTTACATAATGTTTTGACTATTTTTCTTGTTTAAGTGCATAACCTATATTATATTGTTGTCGTTTTGAGCAAATATTTTTATAATTTTATTTTCGTTATTAGTTTTGTTAATACGTCAAAACGAACACAATTTTATTATTTTTTATTTGGAAAATTAATTCATATACGTACTAACAAAGTTATTTTTAACGTTACCTAACTTATTAGGAGAGAATCCAATTAAAGAAAGGGCTTATATGAATACTGTATAGGCACATTCTGAAATTGAATTCTGCCTACGCTAAAGGCACACGTACCTACCTAAATAATGTAAACATTAAAAACTTAAGCCATTAATCAGTGTTTTGGCCCAACGCTGATATTTACACTGATACGTTTTATAAAATCACATATCTGCAGGTAATACCACAGGCGTAGGGTGATAAAATATATTGGGAAGGAAGGTGGCGGTGGCCTCCCTATAGATGATTTTCAATGTGCCGTTTCGTGGGGGGCCACAACCAATTATGATAATAACATTCATTTTTTTAAAAAAAATTCTAACAATTAAATATTTTTAAATTGGACAACTTATGAAGAAACCTGTAATACATTTTTCAAGCTTTTTGACCAAACAAAAAGGTTTATCGTAGGTAAATAAAAAAAATTTAATAATTGAAAATTCCAAATGTCTATCAATAACTCAAAAAGATTCAACATATTTTGAAAGTTTTAAAAAACATTTGGTTTCATGAACATTGCGTAAATGTTTAAATGTGTCATTTAACAGTGCTTCTAATAAATATATAGTTATTTTCATAGTAATTTCAGTTTCTCTATAATATTATCATTGTGCAATAAATTGGAAATAATATGATGTACCTCTCGATCAGCGATCGTCGCACGGTTTTCTCGATGACTATTCTTATTTCACTTTTTGTATAAGCAATAATGTCACAGTCGTTTCAACTTGAAAAATCGAAGAACTTGTTTGGTGAGAATAATTTAAAATTATTCGTTATTTATGGTTGAGAAAATGATAGGTTATGTCGTATTTACTATTTAGGGTCAAAAATAAATACACATAATATACAATAGTGCAATATTATAATAAAGCTTGTTAATAATATTTACTAAACATGTATGTTTGTCTAGGAAATAAGTAATAACATTATATGTCATAGGTAGGTATTTAAACTCACTCTATAAAATATGAATTTAATATCTTTCAAGATCTATACTAGTCATATAGACATAATAATATATAGTATATTATTATTATTATTTATTATAATTAACGCCAAACGGCGATATTGATGTGAATATGTGACGAATACTGTCTTGTAAGTTGCAGTGCGATCGATTAAAATATTAAAAATATTCGTCACACCAGTCACGCTAATGCTTACAAACATTTAAAATACTCAAACAATATTTTAATATTATTTTGATTTTAATTTATAAAGACCATAGTTACCTACGTGAAATTTAACCTGCATGATATTGAATCCGTGGGCTGTATTTTTTCTCATTGCAATCGTTGAATTTTAATTTGGAACTCGCCTCTTGTAAATGTACCTATCTCCTGTAGTATAAGACACTTGCGTCTATGAGTTTTGTGCTTGGGAGTTGGGGATGCTGGCCACTATCTATATAGAACACCAAAAATAATGTGAGAAAAGAGCGATTTCTTTCTTTTTTTATGAAAGATTATTTTTAGACGTTTTTATTTAAAAAAACAATTAAAAAGAATCTTTTATAATATAAACTGAAAATTATTTACAGTTGCAATTACAATTCCAATAAATTCTGTAACATTTGTTTGCAGTTTTTCGAGTAACTATATGCAATGAATTTAAAATTGGTTGAGGACGAGTATGTTATGGCAATGATTTACCGACTCATCATTTTAAATATTAATACAAGGGGTGTTGCAAATAAAATAAAAATAGAATCATTGTTGGACAAATACCTATACCTACAGCACAAAAACAAGGAAAATAGGTTTAAAATAATACATTATATTCTTATGAGACAATATCAAACGTATGTTATTTGTATTTTGTTATATTGGTTGTAGCTAGTAAAATATTATATTGTTATAATAATACAATTATTTATTATTTACTTTGTAAATGTAATATGTAGGTACAATTAAATAGGTAATAATGTTGGAGTTTTAACAAAACTTTGATTAATGATTTTTAAATTTATGTTCGGGTGGTGTGGGTTAGTAAGATAAGTATACATAAATATAGCGCCCCCTAAATTTAGCTCTAGTTGCGCCTATGATAAGACCCTAAGGACTAGGTGTGAATATGTGCCGTATGGTAACCGCAGGCGATATTCGATGAAGATGACATCTACCTCACTATAATCGAATAATATACCTATTAACTACCTAGTATTAGCTAGAGTGCCTTGATAATAAGGCATCAAGGCACTCTACCATTAGCTATTAACTATTCATATACAATAGTAATATGTATAATATAACTAGGACTCGGAAGTTATAGAAATTAAAAGCAATCAAATAAACACATACAAATCTAAAATATACAAACAAAATTTGCATTAAATGGATAAATAACTTAATGATCCAATAATCGATTAAAATATTGTATTTATTAATTATAATTTACACAACAGTGTATATTTTATAGGTATTGGTGTATTACTATTTACTTATATAGTAGTATATTTAATATTATTTTTTTTTTATTGAAAATATTTAATAACTATAATATGAATGAATTTCCGTGAAAAACTAGATGAACAAAAATAATGATAGTTATCTTGTACATACGTTGTCATAGCGTATACCTCCAGGCCATAAAAAAATCATAACAATATCATTAAGGTTGATATAGTGGAAATTGTGCTTTTTGCTACCTATAATAGGTCTTTAGAAAAATAAAATACCTGTATTATAATTGAGTATAAAATACATAAGGTAAGTAATTTTTTAGAAAACAATAAAGACCTATATTATACAAGCAAATTGGATTATACATTTTTTCCCTAAAATTGACAAAATTAGACAAATGTGCATCATAAATAATTGTTGTTTTTAATTTCGTCATTGTGTAGTGTGAGTTTCTAGCTTAGTCTGCAATAAATAAGAAAGATATCGAAAAATATTCAACTCCTATAAGAGCTCAGTTATACTAATAACTAACACACACACGTACTTTTTGTGTAGTATAGTTATAAAATAAGGGGCCAGTGGCGTTCCTGATGTTTTACTATAGATGGGCACCATAAATTGTGAATTTGTTATATTAGTACTTAATTTGTTTTGTGTAGGTACATTCTGCATATTAGTTTATATTATGTCTTTGGGTCTATGGTATGTTGTAAATTGTAATATCTATATGAGAGTATTCATTCAATAAAAAAATGAGATAGTTAATGTTACACCCGTTATATAATAGAACAAAACCATTGAAGAATATTAACGTGGTTCTCATTCTTACATCTTATTTGAGAGTTGAAAAAACATGTCCACCATATATTTATATAAACTATATAGGTAACTATATTAGTTATATCAACATATATTTTCCAAGTTGGTGTTCCATATAGCCAATATTATGTTATGGTTATTCGAGTATTGTATACCTGTATTTATAGATCATTATTATACATTAATTTTGAATTTCACAGTAGTTGGTGAAAAAAGTCATTGTATAATACATGGCTGCATGTAGATTTTCAACTCGTAAGTTTGTTACCATAGTTAATATTCAAGTAATATTTAAGTTTTAAATAAAAATTATAATTTTATGATATTAACCTATACAAAATTTTAAATATGACGGCCATAGACGAAAAAAAATTAAATATTCTCTCTCAAGATCTTCTGGTGTACATATCACATCTCGAGGAATCTTATAACCACATAGAAGTGTCGGAGGAGAAAATAATCGTGCAGGTATATCGAATCTATATTTTTATATTAATAACAGTTTCATAAAAAGATGGCGTATCGTAAGTAAAACAATTTAACTAGGAATAATGTGAATAATACGAGAACAAATTATACTTAACTTAACCTAATCCGTCGTTTAAATTAATCTGTTCAAAATAATTTAATGTAATATTCATTATTATTATGTATTAAACGGACTATAACATCAGTTTACATTGACTTAGGAATGGTTATTTATGATCCTCGAACATTTACACGATGACTTGGATTCGGCTCGTATCCGAAACATGGCGCTAAGTCAATTGCTGATGGACATCGAAAGTAACAAACTGCGAACTCCGTTCAACGAGAGGCCATCCTGCCGAGCTTACGCCGAGCTCGTCGCTTGGTTAAAGACTGTGTTGAATCAAAACTCGTCCTTGGAAAAAGGAGAAGACGAAGTATTATAATAATGATATACTATGAATACTGTCATAATAATATAGAGTACCGTAAAACCGGGTGAATAGAAACGGTAATTTTAATTCACATAATCGATTGTCAACTAGTGCGGTTTTCAAATAATCAAGGATTATTATTTTATTGTTCCTCCATGATTGCCAAATTTTGTTACTATTCACCTCTTAGTTCGTTGAATAAAAATATACATGTAGGTAAATACAATACATGTTTTAATTGAGCATTTAAAAAATTATACAAAATAACCTGTTAATAATACAAATATTTTGACTGAACATAAGATAAAGTAGGTACTCGAAAAGACCAGTGTTTTTATGTATTGATCATCTATAAAACACAAATAGAAAAGTTTGTATGATACTTCAAAGTTCAAAAGTGTTTCTATTCGCCCGGTTTTACGGTACCTATTTTATTATTATAGTCGCGTACACTGGCATAGGTACCTACTGCAAACATATAATGGGGAAACTGGGATCTATTATATTATTTTATATCTAGTGTCTGGATTTTTAAACACGAAATATATTAATTTGTATATAATATAGGTTTACTAAACAGCACACTATTTAATACCTATAACTATTACCATAACATATTATTATATAGACCACTTGTTACATTAATCAGGTATTTTTATTTGAATTAAAAGTCAATATGGCTATACACTGAAAATATACGTCTACTATAATTGTATAGGTACACTTATAACAATATTATTAAGAAACCGTGTCGATATTACAGTTGGAAGAGGAACCTGAACCCGAGAACCGTGACATGGTAGTTACTGAGTTTGACAATTTGCTCTCTACTGACAATCGAACCTATGTGGCTATCCGTACTTTACCGAACAGTGGTGGTGTGTTTGGTTACATAGCTATTACAATGGGCGATGGAGTTGAACCACAATGGCTGGACTGCAATGGCAAGCCGATATGTACACCGGTGCCGTTTAATTTGAGCGTAGAATACATGAAGGCAGATATCGATTTAGAATGTTTGGAGTATGATGAGACGGACGCCAAACAGGTGTGGATGGTTTTGAACAACAGGAAATCAATATGTCTGAGAAACGAATTTTATGATTTCTACAAAACTCTGTACGAAAGCGTCCAACAAGAAATGGTGGCTGAAGCAGATTCGTGTGTGATCCGAAAATGTAAACATCCGTTCATAAATAAGTTACTTGAATACCTCGTGGTAAGTAACGATAACGATATTTTAAAATATGACCAAGTAAAACCAACAACCATTTAATGTTTATAAAATATGTACCTGATTAAATAGGTCGACTTGAAAGCTATTGGTATGACTGATCTAGAAATATTTAATAGAATCAGGTTGCTTTCCGTATTGAAAAAGCAAATCAAATCCGTAATATGTGAAGTAAGAATTGAATGTTAATTATAATATGAATGTTAATTCATGTCTTTAGTACCTATAAATTATATATTATCTACTTAAAGATTTAAATCAAATAAATATTTTTTAACCAACCAAAGTAACTTGGGTAGACCTTGATATTTGAATGGTAATCACTGCTTTTTAAGAATTTTTAAAAATATCAACAGGAAATTAGAAAATTTAAATAAAATATCAAAGTTTAGATAAGTACCTATGCGTGATGTACTAAATTCAATTTTAAAAGTAGTTAATTTATAAGTAGTTTGAAGTTTTACATAATTATTGATTATTACTTTACACATGTTTATGAAATTATAGAGAAAAATAGTTAGTTTAGTGTAAAAAATAATTTTAAAAATAAAACAGCAATACCAAAACCTATAGGCATATTATAATATTACCTTTGGGCTTTGGTACCTATCATAATAAGGTCATATTATAAGTTAATTAAATATAATGTATTATATTTCCACTGGCCATTGACCTAGTTTTCCTATTTTGGTTGTTTATGGTAGGTAGTTAAAAATTAAATTTTCTTCGTATAAAGATACAACCAACTGAGCTAGGCCCGCTCAGTTTACAGCAAGATTTACCTACGTTTATAACAATTATAGTCCAATTTAAAATCAAATAAGGATAAGTACACATTTCCAATATTGTATTTTAGATAGAGAAACGGACTGACAATCTGGAAACCGCGTGGAAGTTTTCGACGATTTCGCCTATGGATCCATTACCATCCAAATGTTGTTATGACTTTATATCATCCGCTCTTTGGAATGAACTACACCAACAACGACCCGACAAAAAGTATATAAATTTACTGTCGTATCAATATCCGCAATATTTTTTACCAAAGTAAGTACATAATATATTATTAAAATGTACAGTGGAAATGTTGTATGCATGATAATCTATTTTCTGATCACTATACATTAATAATTAATGTACAACAATGTTTTTTGTTTTATGTAAAATGTTGTTTAAAAAAATGTAGACAATCTTTAGATCTATACATTTTTAATGATAATTGATAACACATGATAAAACCATGAGCACACGATTATAATTTTGTACTAAAACATACATACATTGTATCAAATCTAATTTGATTTTTGGCAGTCGTACCGATCAAACTATACCTAAGTAATAAAGCAATAACATATCTGCATTTCTCATGAAGTTTGAAACTCCAAACTCTGATGTGTCCAAACTCACTTGAATTATTAAAAAGCTTTAATAACTGTTTCATATTTTTTAGATATTTTTGTGTGTTAATGAACCAAAAGAAAAAGGCATTAAACATTATCTCTCGTAGATATTGCAAGTTATTAGATGAAATGTTCGATGACTTGGGAGCTTCTATTATGGAAAATATGATGAAGTACAAAGAAGCACATTGGGAATGGCATGTGGCCCAAGAAGTTATCGATGCTTACAACAAAGAAAAGGCTTTTAAAGACAGTTTGTGTGCGGCTGAAAATTCTAATGATGATTCCACAGAATCATTCATAACAGTTATTTTAAACGAGATAAACATGTCTCATCTGAAATTAAAAGTAATTTATTTAAAAACCTACTGTAGGTTCTTGTCTTGGGGTAATTTCTATAATAATTTATTTTATTTTCATTAGTCAACAACGAAAAAGAATAATCAAATGGCAGAACAATTAACCGAACTGAGAAATGAAATATTGGAAAAGGAACGAATGTACAGACGAGTGTTAATCCAAATCGAAGAACAAATAGATAGATTGAGAAAACAAATCAACATCGAAAAACGCGATATAATAACAAGAGAAATTACTATTAAAGAGCTTCAAAGAAAACGTAAGGAACTATTAAAATAAACTCATATAGTTTCATTCTTCTTTGCGTTTTCTCCATAGCTCAGTAAAAAGTAGGTAAACAATAGTTTTTTCTTTAATAATTACCTATATATCGTACCTATATCTACTAAAGAAAATTGTTTTCTAGAATTACATATTTTATCTGTTCACCCAAAAAATTGTATATAAATGTATATAAATGTAAAAAAAAATAAATGTTTTAAACCTAAATCAATTAATTTTCTTATGGCATTTTTTCCCGTGATATAATCAACTTAATTTATTTTGTAACCAATAGGTATTATTGTATAATAAGTTAAAAATTAGTCGTTGATATTGTTGGAGTTCTAGTTGCACCTATACGGTCATTCGTATGCACCTGGTTTGATTATGAATGTACAAACAATTTACAAGTTTAAAATGATCATCACTCACTTTAAAATTAGAATATAAAAAATAATCTATAAGATTCACTAGATAAATTTCTTATTTCTAAATTTCATAATAGGTCGATTCAGTCAAATATTAAAAATAACAGAGTTAAATACTTAATAGGAAAATACAAAATGTATAATTTGCTATATATTGTCATTCGTTTGTAAAACGGAGACAAGGCATTTGGGTGTAGGGTCTTCACAGATTAATATATATTTAAAATTGTAATATTTATCTAGGTTCTAGACCCCTAGCAAATATTTTAATAAGACATTGTTTTAAATTCTTATAGGTACTACTAGGCGCTATTCACCAAATATTGCCTGCAAGATAAGTTGACATTATTTTATTACATTTATTTTTATTACATAGGTACCTAGTACGTATCTATAGATAAATGTATACATTAAATTTGCTGACTTTTTTCCATATAAAGCATGATTAATATAAAGGTAGTTAACTACCTAATTTGTTATAGTTATGAAGTTAATTATAATTCTTGTACCTATGTATGGATACCAAATAAAAAAGTATAATCATTGAGTAATGAGTGATGGTGATTAACCATCATATGGTGATAATTTCAGTAATCCACACCTTGAAAAAATCTGTGGGTACCTACAGATATGTCACCTCTGCGTTTAGTAAAATGTATTACAAAATTACTTTTGGCAAAAGGCGGTAGACGCCACCCGGCTGCCCAGGGCCGTATTTACACTTTTTTCGCCATGGGTCAACAATATTTGAACCCCCCCCCCCCCAAAAAAAAAAATATTCGTTTTTAAGTGTTTAGTATTGTAGTTCTGTATTTATGAAAATGTTTTTAAAAACATAGATCACGGTGATACATTATTTTAATTATTGTCAAAATGTATAACAACATAAAATTATTGAAATCTATAAAAAAATTACAAAAATTAATAGTTATCATTGATTGAAAAAATGAATAAATGACGCCAAATGGCCATTGTATCATTGCATTGTATCAATGCAATGCAAAAAGTTATTAAAATTGTATTTATATAATATTATACACCGGCGCCTCGCCTAAATGTGTCAAAAATTTCCCGCCCGGGGCTAATGTCCCCGTTGTTCCCCGTTAAATCCGGACCCAGGGCTGCCGTCGGAGACGCAAATGTTGAAATGTGGACGAATCATTACGGTCAGTCGCCGAAATCGATGATTGGTCTGTTGGGCGAAATCCGGTACCAGGGACTCAGCTATAACCGCTCGTCACTATATCCAATGGCGGATGACTCGAACAGCAATCATCGTCACGCCACTGAATCCCTAGTACCACTTGAGCATAATCTACGATCGGCGATGTCAGGCCACACTATGCGGTATCACCAATGTGCGGTGATACCGGATAGGTCGTGTTCAACCACACCATGCGTTTTGGCCGGATGCGGCAGAATAAAATAATTATTTATTTATTTAATAAATATTATAGTTTCTATTTATGTCACTGGTCAGTGATATTGGTTTTCGTCTAGTACAGTTGCAGATTTTCGCAGCTTAATCATGTGTGATAATTTACTTTTGAATATAATACGTGCCACGGAAGTCACCGCTGAACTAGATGAACCAACTATTCCTAGTTCTAAAGCAAGGAAATATTGGGTTCGTCCAGTCCATTCCAAAATAGAAGGTGAAAATAATTTTTGTATGTCAATAACTTCATTTGATAAGTTGTCAAAAATGTTGAGGCCAGGGGCGTCATTTGAGGGGGGTCAGGGTGTGCGGTAGCACCCCTTAATTTTAAAATGGTTCCAATGGGCCTGCGCCCCGCTGAAGCCTAAAATAATGCACGAGCCACGAATGCACAATTATTAATATGATTAAAATTAAATTGTATTTTAATTTTTATATTGACAACTAATGAAAGATTATCAGAACCAACCAATAACTTGTTTAAGTTATTTTAAATTTTTGACCTTTCTAGTCCCAATTTTTTTAATCCAGATAGCCTTTATTTAAAACTATTTATAAACCATTATAGTTATTTTAACTTTAATGAAATTCAAATTTCTTCTGAGTTTCCACCAGTAAAAGCACTATTTAATGAGAAACATGATGTTGATTTGGACACCATAGCAATATGCCTAAAAGATTGTCCTATCGCTTTTGTTGAAACTTTAAAAATTATTTCATTGGTAAAAACTTTACCAATTACAATTTACAAAGGCATCAAATAAAAGGTTTTTTTCATTATTTAAAAGAGTTAAGTCATATTTACGCATTACCATGGGTGATGAAAGGCTAAGTGATTGGATGGTACCTACTTAATGTTGAAAAAAAAGAAGTTAACAATATAAATTTAGAAGAAGCTGTAGATAAATTCACTAAACTAAAAAATCGACGATATCCGCTTCTTTAAATTTAAAATATTTTTTTTCTAGCTCTTTGCTTTTTCCAAAATTATAATAATTATGAAAATAAACGACAATTTATTAATGTAGATATTAAGTCCTTTTTTTATTTGCTGCTGCATTAATTCTTCTAGCTTTTTACGAATCAATTATTATTGGTTTTCACTGTTAAGGTAATTCATTATTTATTATATTTTAGTTTCTTAATAAATTGATATTTACTATTTATTTTGACGCAATGATTCCGAATTGATTCGGTCCTTACTCATAATGTATAATGATAATGGAAATAATTGAAAACCGGATAATGTAGGGGAGAGTGGGGCAGATTTGAATGAAATTTACATTTTATTTTTTTAATTTTTAATTTTTTGACAAATTTTATATTTGATAATTACAATCTGTAGTCTAGATAGTTGTGAATACTATTTGACTTATAACAACCTTATATATTAAATAACCAATTTAATTTCTAATTATGAAGTGAAGTATATTTTTATTCAAATGTACCCCACCCATGGGGTACATTTGAACGTGCAGGGGGTAGATTTGAATATGTGTCTTAAAAGCCACATTTGAATGTTAAATATTAAATTACATTAAACTTTTTATTTATTTTAATAATAAAAATAGCTCAATATAATATAATAACAATTTTTTACAATTATGTTTAGATGTTTTCTTGTCAATTTTTTTTTTATTGTGAAAATGTAGTATTTTTGGGTTTTCTTATAGATAAATCCACATCTTGTGACATAAATCCAGTTAACTAGTATATTCCATCCATAAGATAGATATTTCAAAAAGGAGGAACCTTTATTACACCCTATTATCTACCCTATTGATGAAGATTCAAATCTACCCCATGCCAAAATAATCAATAATAATCATAATATAAATTTTAATAATTATAAATAATGTATGTACATTAAATGTATTACTAGGCAACAATATTTTGAATAGGTATATTTAATTCTAAACTTATTATTTTGAATTTTAGTTTCCAAAATGTTCTTATGGAAACACCTATTTTTTTTTTTAAAAAGCCGGAAAATCACATTATCATTTTTATTTATCACAAAATTATTCAAAAATGCCTGATAATCACATATGGTATACAAAATATTGTCACCAACTTAGATTATTATTTTTATGAATGTAAATAATCTGTAACAAATTATATTAGACAAATTCAAATGTACCCCGCATTCAAATCTGCCCCACTCTCCCATACATATATACGTATGTATATCTATTTTTATATGGCCTAGTGAAATTTCAAAATGGCCTGCTTGAAACCCCGCACACCCGAAAAAAAACCTGAAATGACGCCCCTGGTTGAGGCCTCATTTGACAAAGCAGCCACTTTGACGGGGTGATTTAATTTACGCGCGGGTCACTATTAGTAGTATTATTATTTCAGAATAATAATGTTATTGAAAATATTTCTTTTAGACAATATATTATAAGTTGTTACAATAAGATGTTTTTGGAAGAAAATTATAATTTTTATCGTTATTATTATTATTTTTTTTTAATATAAACTATTTTCAATGACAACATAGGTATGTTTTTAATTTCATTTTCCGAAACAGAACATTATTCAGAATATTTCGATCAATAAAAATCTAATTTCAGACAAATAGTTTATCAGCCATAACTTACCTATAGGTTATAATTTATAAGTATAGGTACTTACCTATTTAAAGTTTTGACGAGCGGAGTAGTAGACCAACTATAAGCTGGGTACTTTTTGCAGACTTTCCACTCCACTCATCTAAACTTAAAATACTTATCAGTTATAAGTTATAACTCATAAGCTACACGTCCAAAATTTGTATACATAAAAGAACTCTGATAAATATTCTGCTTTGGAATAAGGAGTTAAAAATACATGTTTTTATGAAAAAAGTAAACATATAAAAAAAATAACGATAAAAATAGTGAACAAAGGCACAATTACCTATATACAAATATATAAAAAAAAATAATGAACGTCTTACATTAAGGTGTTTCACTTTGTACATAATTTATTATATTTATTATCCATGAGTTGGACATTAAAATAAAAAAGAACATAAGGGCCTACCTATGATTTCAGATACATGAAAATTGAGACCCGTCGGAACTGGAAAGCGAAACGGACACTATAATATTCGAGCCATATAGGCATAATTGGACATTTTGACTAGTTCAGTCTAAAATAGTCCTCCACACAAAAAATGCATTCTTTTTTGTCCGTCTTGTGTCGATTGAATTCCAAGAATACCAAGCCCGAATATAATATGTACTAATAATAGACACAGCCATAGGCGCAACTAGATGCCAAACACTGGGGGTGCTAAAATTAAGTAGAAAACACAGACCCCACACCCCCAAATATAACATACTTCGGTTTTATAATTACAATAATCATTCCTAAATGCCCCGTAAACACATGAGGACACTAATATTTAAGTAAATCAACAGTGATATTCCTGACAAATTCATAAAGTACCTATATTATATATTATTTAGGTGATAAAAATAGAAACCTGGAAGTATAAAAGGATAAAAAAAAATTGTGGTCAAGTAGGTACCGCTTTGCTGTACGATAGTTGTTGAGCATGTCATTATAATGGATGTGATATATTTGAATGAAATTTGAAAAATTTTCTCATGGCTATAAATAGTTCATAAAGAGTCAAAATTGTGTGAAGAATTTACGAGAAAATGCTTATATAAATATTTGAAGAACATTTCAAGAGTCTACTGCAGTTATAAAATTAGGAAATACAACAAAATCTAAAAAATCGATTAATGTTAATTCGATTTACAGCTGAATATCGAACATCGTAACAATCATAAGTTCATAAAAAATTAATATTCCGTTCAAGTATAAGTTTTTTTTTTATAAGTAGAAAAACTTATGTGAAATCTTTTATTAACATTTTTAATCTTAGCTACGGAAAGAAAATCTTATGAGTTTCCGACTGAAAAATACATAAAAATATTTGAAAAATCTCTCTTAGTTATAAATAGCTCAAAAAGAGTCGAAATTGTTTGAACACTTTACCGTGTAAGGAAAATTTTAATTTTAACATTTGGTAAAAATTTCAAGTATCTAGGATTATTCGTTCTTAAATTACAACAAAATATAAAAATTGATAGATGAAAATTCGTTGATTTACTGATGAAAATTGAAAATTCAATGTTGTACACATTTTAGATTCGAAAACTCATAAAAAATGTATGCTACTTGCCAGTAAACACTTTCTTGTTTGTTCAATTTAGGACCAATTGTGAGGAGTCTTCTATCAACATTTATAATGTTAGCTATGAAAGGAAAACTTTTATAAATTTCTAACTGCACATTTTTTAAATTTTGATGAATTCTAAATTCCGTAAAACGGGGTGAATAGAAACGATGGTGTGAATAGAAACAAAATCAAGAAAGTTATTACTTCGACGTCTCCCCGACTGAATATTCGTGTTATCAATATGAAACCTTCACTAAATCGAAAACAAATTTGTATGAAATTCGATGAACTCTAAACTTTCCGTTTATCTCTACCGCCATACGGATAAAAATTGATAAGCAACAACTGATAATAATCCTTCTAAATTATTACTTAAATAAACGGTTCTTGTTAACAGGTAAATATTTAAAAAATTTTAATTTTTCTTGTTCTAATTTATTATAAATATTGTTAAGTTTTATAAATCGTAAGTATTATTTGATAAAATTAATTAACCATTTAACTATGTAGGTTAAACTGACTTCTGCCATTTTAGGGGTGAATAGAAACACTGTTATCATGGGACCTATTTTTAATGATAAGTGACTTTTATTATATTTTTTTTTCTTATTTGTTAAAATGTTTATAAAAAAAAAATATAATTTTTTTTTTTTTTTACTCAAATATTTTAATAAAAAAAAAACAGAACAAAATAAAATACAATTTGCATAATTAAAATTAACTATGCAAATTGTATTTTATTTTGTTCTATTTTTTTTTTATTAAATATTTGAATTAAAAAAAAAAAAAGTTTTAGATTCAAAATATTGTTCTCTTTATTTTTAAAAATCTAAATATTTGTTTCTATCAACCCTTCGATTAGTAAAATAGAAAAATACACTAAAAACCATATATGTTTCTATTGACACCATCTTTCGGGGGAATAGAAACAAAGCACTTAAAAAAATATATAAAATAATCGGTTTAACAAAAAGACAATTTGAATATACTTAAAGTGCTCAATGAGACCAGTATTTTGATGTATTGATCATCTATATAATAGCCCAAATAGAAAAGTTTTTATGATACTTCAAAGTTCAAAAGTGTTTCTATTCACCCCGTTTTACGGTTCTAATATTTGATATACCCACAATCAATACAAACAATAATTTGTGTTTCTCCTGAAAATGAAGAAATAAAAAAAACCTTACATAAAGCTACAAAAACTATTTTTTTCATATGATTTTTAAATTTTTTGGTGTTTTTGAACTGGGGGTGTTGAAGCACCCCCCCCCCCCCCCCCCCAGTTGCGCCTATGGACACAACCAATCCCTAGCTAGATGGACAATAATTTTTTTATTGTATTAATGTTTACCGCGTACTGTTCAGGAATTAAGTTTATTTTAAATAACAATTTCACATTAGAACAGACAATAATTTCACTAATAATTCACAAGAAATAAATAGGTAGATACATTATTTTTGTAATATAAAAGGGTCGTACTCACTGGTTTAGCCGGTTTAGGTAACATCCACCGCTTATGTCTCTCGTATTTTCGATGTTCTAATCAATATTATTATAATATTATACTTTCTAGCGTGTACTGCAGAAAAGAAGTAGGTACAATAGTATATCGTCGTGTGGCAAGGGCGGAAATTGCCTTCCCGCACGAGCCACACATACTGTTTTTTGTCACGCCTCTGCATTCATCGATCACTGCAAAGGTAATGCAGGGATCTATGCAACAACTAGTCCATAGTTCTACCATTCTACGACAGCAATATTTCATGAAAGAAACGATTTGGTTTTATTTATTTTAACCGTCACGCATGGAGGTTATAATATGAATATAATATTAAGATGTAACCAAAAGTTTATGTTTTGCAAGGACCGTGGTATATAGACTTCGGTGACTGGTTGTACGATATGTGCGCCCAGCACTTTTGGGGATTTCCACTTTACCGCTCGGCACTTTTAGGGATTCCCACTTTACCGCCCACTGGACGGAAAAGGACGCTTTCCAATGCTTCGACCGCTATCGAAAACCAAACTTTCGGTGCAGGCGTGACAAAAAATATATAAAGTTGGTATTCGTACCATAATATATGCTCTATATGGGTACGTGTGAAATTCACTTGTTGGATATTTCAAGAATAATGTTTGGTAAAATTCCAACTGTGAAATATTAACGAATAATGATTCAAGATAATAGAAAATACCGTATGCAATATTTATACGGAGTACCTAAACCTACCTTAACTGTTTATTAATCGTTGTACTCAGTGAAATATTCCGTTGAAAATACAGTAGAGAAATAAAATAAAATAATACAAATTTTTGACATGTATAATGAAGGGCACGACGATTCATCGGTATCTACCAAGACCAATAATATATAATAGTATGTATAATTTGTCATACTTTTACTTTATAATATTATATGCTTTAAAATATTAAATAATTTATCTGGGATTTATCAACTTAAGTCTTTGTAAAGTACATACAGCATAAATTGAATAATTATCGATTAGAAAAAAAAAAAAATTCAAGCGATATAATTACATAAGTGCAGGGGGACAGACATTTTCTGGGTTGGCGTTAACTAAACTAGTACTTAACAGGTACTAGCCTTATGAAACAAGGATACATGATAATGAAGAAGGGTTGTCTATAAAGAGATAAAACATAAAAGTTAAGATGATCATAACTCAGGAGTATTCTATCACGAAACGGATCATCTCAAAGGTACCTAGGGTCATTTTGTTTTATTCAATTTTATAAATTAATATAGAATAATATATTTTTTTTAATAGATACCTAAAATAAAAACATTTAGAATAAAAAATATTTAAATAAAATAAATAACACAGAGTAAACAATTGTTAAGAATATTATAAGTTTATTTTAATGTAATATATCACAAATATAATTATTAATTTATGTTTAATAATATAACATGTTTAGATATAAAATTATTGTTATGTTTATTTAATACTGTATAAATATTTGGAATAAATTTATAGTACAAATCACTCAGTTTAAAACTTTAACATTCAAAACGTTGAAAGATATAAAATATATTCACAATTATTACAATATTATTTTTTTTTTTTTTAAACAAAATTAATTTTTGTATGTAGAATTATTTGCGAGCAATATTTATAAGTCAATGGAATAGTCATATAAATAACAACAGATCTATTTGGCGTAATTCATTTTATAAACTACAAATAGATGATCCGTTATTAATGTTATAGTTTGATGCTAGTACTACATATTATATTTACTAAATCATATACTTCATAAAATCATATTGAGTAAAAAATCAAAACTAAAAATTTAAATATATTTAATTTTAAAGAATTTAATTCGGCATATAAAATATGAAATCCAATATTTTCCAAAACAACTGTTCATTTAAAAATTCTAGATTAATATTACTCTCAAGAAAAAGTTCTTATACAACACAAAAATAGCATGTAATCAAAGAATTAAAATTTAACTAGTAATTTGGTAATCGAGGGTCGTTTTATATTTTCATAATTAAAACTGGACTTGGTCTAAAATTATGTTTAGTATATTATAATGGAATATAGTACTAAAATCCCCACTAAAATTAATCAATCTTTTAAATAAGTTTTACCAAATTTGTCTTGATAACCTATCTAACTAATTTTACAACAAAACCTTAATAATTATATTTGTTTTCTAGGACATGAATGTTCATACATTTAAAAACAGTAAAGTATGCATACGCCTAGGCATACTCTTTATTTATCTTGCATTTCAAAAAGACTTCCAGTATTTTTTTTTACCATATTACGGTTTAATATCAAGCTAATTTGAACAGTTGTATTTTATATAATTAAGGTCTAAATATATTGAAGAAATTTTTAACAGACCAAGGTTATTATAAAAGAAAAGTGTATTGGTTTAATGAAGAGAAGACTTGTATAGAACACAAAACATATTAAATTCCTGATAGGTTAATTAACATATTTGTCATTCATGCAATGCATGATAAGTTTTTAATAGCTATACTGAAGTGTGCAAAGGCATGAACTCTCAAGCCTAATATATAACAATACAAAACACAAAACAAAATATTTTAACTTGCACTCCACTTATCTTAAATATTATTCTAAAAATTAGGTGCCACACCCTTTAACAAAAATTAAAATAACAAAAAAATAAAAGAAACTTAATTTATCCATACAAATTCACTATCTTATTACAATAATAGTTGAACAATCTTTGTAAATTATTAAATTACTAAAGCAGTACTTTATGTATATTGATATATATTTATAATTTTGTGTTGGTAATTTAAATATTAAAAAAAAAATTTAAACAAAATACATCTACTGACTGTTAAAGATGTCGATTGAGAAGTTGTATTAATCATTCTTTTTATCATCTTCTGGTTTCTCTTTTTCAACTACTTGTGGTTTTTCTTCAATGGCTTGTACCTTGTCTTCAATAGCTTGTGGCTGATCTTCAACTGGCTCGGCAGCGTATCCAAATTCATTCACTCTAGTCGGATCTACTCTATATATCCATCTTTGATACAAAAATATGAAAAATACAATATCTAAAAAAAAAAAAAAAATAGTTATTTATTTTATGATTTTTATACCCTCAGGAGAGAAAGAGTACAGTTAATATAGAGATAAACATGATAAGAAATACATACAAAAATTATAATCCTATAGTACATTTATAATATAACAATGCTTTAATTTCACCTTATTACCAATAAGACAATTTTAAACACTATATGGGGCTACTTGGAACAACTTGAAATTTGATATGGAACCTATACAAATTTCAAGTGATGACTTGCAATCCATTAAATGATTTTTTGCAATAAATTTACTCTCAATAATTGCATTTAATAGTTTATGGTTATACATAAAGAAACATCAATACAATTACATTTAGATTTAAATGAAACTTATGAAACTATATTAATATTATACTGATGTCCAACCTCAGTAATATAATGAAATCCATATTAATTGTATACGCTATAGTACATAGGAATGTATTTGTAATTTTTCAATTTTATTTTGAAGTCTGAATTGTTTCCAAATATCTATATGGTAATGTGAATCAGATGATCCGAATTCAAATGCAGATTGAACAAATGTATAAGAACTAAGTATTAGAATAATTTAAGTTGTTAAAGCCAAATTATTATTTTTAGTTTAAAAGATAGTAATGTAAAGATTCATTACATTGTCTTATGGTGAGGTGCATGTGCATGAGTGTATAATATATAATATAGAAATTTAGCTGTGGTTTAAATATTATTGTGATAAAATATATGATGACCACATAGGAAATTAGGAAGCATGCTGCAGCTGTTACTTATCATATCAAATTAGAAAGGATGCTATATGTACAATATGTGTTGTTCCATCTTACAAACATACAACAAAGCAAACATTCCAATTTTGTGTTATTAGTTATAATATAAGAATTAATAAGATTAACCTACCAGAAAACTTCAATGTAAGAAGATTTTCTAGTTTTTTACTTATTATTTTAACTTTCAAGTGAGTTATAACAATTTAAAATTAAAATTCTAAATAACAGATTATAATCTTTAATATCGGTAATGGATCAATTCACTCTAATATTAAAACGAACACAAAATTAGATTTTCTGAAAGTAAATTTAGCTCTTAAAGATAGCTACCGAGAACAGGCTAAGTGGGGAAGAAGGGTGAGTCTTTGACAGATATCCATCAGTACAGGAGATAAAATTCAAATACAGAGTAAAATTGCAATATAGTAAGAACTGAGTTAAGTTGAGTGTTAGTTTAAAAATAAATGACATAATATACAAATAGATAAAGGTGTCAGCACAAGAATGAGTGCTGTGGTGTTAGAGAAGATGTTATAGTAGTTTCAGGAATTTTACTTACCATCTCTAAAACAGCCTAAACGGTACATTGTTGGCATTTTAATAACAAATGCAAATATATCATCAATGAATGTATTTAAACACTTATAAGACATCATTCTCCAAGGAAGATGCGCCACAGACTTGAGCTTATAGTTAATGAACAATTGTGGAGTCATTGTAATGAAACCTGCAAAAATATTAAGGATTTATAATAAAATAAGATGATACCTAACTGAGTTAAATGAGTTAATGTATATTCAACTAATTTTAAAGGCTATATTTTACTTTGTACTAAGTAAAACAAATAATGCTTACCAAACATAAGAAGAAAACCATACAACATGTTGAGTACCCAAGAATACCATCCTTTATGTTCTTCATAAACGAGTGAATAAATTGCATATGCAGCAAGAAGAGGAAATAGTACCCATGATAAGTATTTAAAGGCTGCTCGATCATATTCCTTTGTGCTTGATTCAGCATAGGACCCCTTTTCCTTAAATATAAGTTTTGGAATAATACCTAAATACCGTGTTTGCCGATCAATGCTTATGTCCAACACCTAAAACATATGAAATGTAGTGAATTGTCAATTTAAATTCAAAAAATATTTAAGTAATTTGAGTAATTTATTTATTTACCTTGTTAATTTTCCAACATTCAATACCCAGCCCGACAAAACAACTGATACGAATGATTGTGTTTGTATCATTATCAAGCACATACAAAAGTACAATGACAGATTGAAATACATTAAAAAATACTGCACGTACAGATAAACCTTCCAACGACTTACGTTCCTTCCAAAATTGAATATCTATAAAATATTAAAATAATAATTTTAAGTTTAACTTATTCAAAATATATTATTTATGTAGTATGTGTGATGTATAGGTAGACAGGTAGACAAATAAAAATAAAAATATCCAAAACAATAAGGACAAACAGTCTACCACAGTCAGGGGCGGAGTGGGAACCAAATCCGGGCCGGGAGTTTAAAATTTATCCACCAAAATTTTTTTTCTCTCTAAGCTCGAATTTGGTTTTTCTATTTACCTAGGTATTTCAAAACTACTTATAGTATTTTAAAAGTATTTCAATCACTATCTTGCTATTTCTTTTAACTTCTGTCTTCTAACACATTACATTAATATACCACTAAGTACTTATACCTGAAAGTCTGAAAAATAAAATTAGTAGGTATGGTTTAATAGTTGAAATCAACGAAATATTAATAATTATATTAAACATTGTGTTTTAATTGTTTAGGTTTAGTAGATATAACTATATAAGGTAATAAGTAATAGATAAATACATACATTGTAAACAATATATTATAATAAAAAAGATTTATACATTCATAGTAATAATTTAGATAATAGCTTAGATTTCTCACCAACTGCAGCATTTATGATAATATTGTTATCTATTTCCATGAGAATTTTATTTTCAATGGCCATTAACATAAAAGACTCAAGATAATCATTGGTCATTGAATTTCTCAGCCTGTTTTTTAAATACTTCAATGTTTAAAATGGGTGTTTTATTATAAAAATAACCGACCTATATCAATATTATATTGCTTTGATTTTATTTTATGTCTGTATTTATGTACCAAATATTTTGTAATTTTATATCCAAAGCCTTATCATAAGAGTATACAATTGTACGAGGCTATCCCAATGTACTATTATTGCATTAATAGTATTTGTAATACAATAATTTAATAGAAACAAATTTTTGACGCATATAGCATTAACTAATATTTTGTAAATTAAATTAAATTAAAAAAAAAATCTAACAAAATGACCAGGCCATCTGGAAAATTCCCATTTCCAGACCGGCCACTCCGCCCCTGACCACAGTTAAATTGATAAGGGGCATTGGTTATTGAAATTTGTTTTCATATGAATAATCATGTACACCAGTGGTTGTCAACCTTTTACTGAATAAGACACACCGTGCTCCTCAAAAAACTTTCACGGCACATTTTTTTTTGCACTAAATAATTAGATGAACAAAATTGCATAATCCCAAATCCTTGCATCAAGACCACATACGATAGCATATATCATATAGCAAAGGTGGTGTTAGTCAAATTTTAAAATATTTAAATTTTATTGTTACAACTTGCCTTTAATGAAAAATATAACATTAAAAAAATATAGTTACTAATTAGTAATTATAAAATTTGGTACATTTTAAACTCACTTTCAGGCTTATATTGTACTTTAAAAATAAATGGCTTATTCAATTATTCTTTTAATAATTGCGTTAGCATAAGGTTATGTCTTTTATTGACACTTCGCCACCAGTGAGCAAAGTGGTTTTCTATACTAAATATAAGAGTTATTGGGGAACAATAAACCATAACCACTATGTATAATAGATAATACATATTTTTAGTTTTGAATAAATAAATAAATTACCGTTTTTAAAAGCTAACAACTCAAAAACACTATGCAATATTGATACAATGATTGTAGCTGCCAAAATATATGGTGACGTTTCTAACAATGCTTCTTTTAATGAATCTTGATCTTGATCATCTTCATTAGCATCTGTGGCAAAAGTATCACCCAAAAATCCAGCAGTCCATTTGTTTCGCATAGTCTGAGCCGAATACATTTGCCATTTAAATAATGACAATGGTTGGAATGTAAGTGTTAAATCCAAATTACTGCAACATTAATAAATACAACCTTAATATTGCGATTAATTAAAAACTATTTTTATTTACTTCACAGTTTTATTGATTGGTTGATAGTCTCTAAGCATGTTCCAGAAATCATTAAAAAACACCATTGGCTTATATCGATTTTTTGGTATGAATTCTAGATCTATATTTTAAATAATGTAATTAAAATATTGCTATTTAGTATTTAATAGCTGAAATTACTTGATAATATGTTAACTTACATTCAGAAAATGGCTCGGGGAGAGATCCTTTAGTCCAGTTTGTTTGATCAGTTACTAAACAAATTGTAAGATTAGGATGCCAATGTGATATTATTTCAGTCTCAAATTTTTCTGCTTTCTAAAACATAAGAATAAAAAATAAATGTAGAAAAATTTAATAATTATTATTTTTTTCTCTTGATTTTTTATAGTCTCTTTAATATAACAAACTATTAGGTCCACAGGCATTAAAAATAATATATCAAAGTAGACAATAAACTTTAAAAATAATATGACTTACTTCAATTTGTTCTGGAGTAGCAGATGTTTCACCCGTAAGTAAGTTATGGGTTTTTAAGAATTTGACTTTTTTAAACTTATTTAATTGTTTCATGGCATGAACAACGTACATGTCATTTTTACTTATATTTGAATTTGTCTTTTTAATGAAGTACACATGTAAATAAATTGATCCGTTATTTTGCAAATTCTAAAAAACAAAAGAGTTACATTTATGTAGTCTTATTTACCAAGCTATTAGTATCATTTATCAGTTACCGGTGATGGAATGAAAGATTTTTGAATAGTATAAGTACCATCATTATTAGGTCCTGAAGACCAGTCTCCATATTCTAAATCTGTTTTTTTCCAAACAAGTTCATTATCATCATCGAGTTTATCATGCATTATAGTCTTAATATAGTCTTCTGATAAATACACATACATATCCTGAAATCATATTATATTTTTATTGGTGTGATATTTATTAGGTACCAAAAATGTTTAAATAAATAATAACTATAAATTACGTACAAATTTAGTACCAAACTCAAAATAATTGACATTTGGAACAGAATCAGCAATTGGAGTAACACCATCAGGAGGTACATTTGAGGACTTTTTAAACATTGACGTAATGAAGTAGATAATTAATGATCGAACAATTAATGTTTTCACAACTCCAAAAAACATGTTAAACCGTCCTTGTTGGGGTTGTGGTTGATCGCCTTGCGCTGGTTCCACATTACCAGCCTTGAACAATACAATAATAAGTATTACATTTTAAAAATCAACTAAATATCAATTGTTGATCATTTACTATAAAAAATCATGGTACATTTTCAATTCATGGCAAATAAAAGTAAATTTAAGTATACAAATTAATCAATAATTGTGTACAAAAAAAAGATTGAAGGAAACGTGAAAATATTAGTCTATATTAATTATAAGGATATTTTATTGATGTATTTAATTTAGGGATGGGCAATACCACTTTATACCGATATCCGATTTTCCGATAACCGATATATTTGAAAACATAAGCCATGAACCGATACTAAAAGATAACCAATACTACCAACCAATATCAGCTATAACTGATAATACAAATTTTTTGTAATTTTTCATTGATTATACATTTATACATTTATAATAAATGCTATTATGTTGATTGATTTGCTTTTTTTTTCTTTTAGTATCGGTTCAACTATTGGTTTATAGAATACGCCGATACTGATAAATCCGAATAAATATTATTTAAACTGTCTACCTATCTATATCATGTCTAGAAAATACAAATTTTCAGTAATAAATTACAAAAGTAAAGTTTTACGTGATAGAGAATTTGATCACTTATGAGTTTATGACAGTACCTAATTAATATTTGAAATAATAGGAGCTAGGAAGATACAGTGAAGTTATATTTTAATATTTTAAAGGTACTTTTTGTCTATTATGTGCATAGGTTTTTTATGGTAAATGGCCATAATTCACAAACTTATCAATTAAAGTGCTATCAAAATAACAGAATTAGGAATAAATATAATATATCATTTCAATAAATCAGTTAAATTGAGTGAATTGGACATTACCTAAGAAAATAAAATAATTTGAACAAACTATATTTTATAGTATTTAAAGCAGTTTTATCATATCAATTAAATGTTATCAACATTTTTTTTAACATTCTGTAGCTAAAAGATAAAGATTTATTATACCATTTATAGAAATACTCGGCTACATAAAAATAAAACGGTATGGGAAATCTTTCGTTTCGTTACCTGGCCCTAATTACTAGAACGAAATAATTCATTTTTACATAATTTCTTTAATTCTAATAGAAATAAAACGCAAACACGGCATCAATAAATCAGGATCACTTAAATAGGTTGTACACTCGGTGTATCAAAACGACAATAATTTGCAGTTTATCGATGCATCGAGTGCGGAAAAATAAAGTTTCGGAAAATCAAGAAACCGCATAAAAAGGCGTTGGCCGCACCCAGCAAACGGTCGAAAACCGTGCGCGCGTCTGGTCCCGCTTGAAAAGCCGGACTTCCTGTCAAAAACCGGGAAAACGGCGACCTTTGTCGCGATGCCCGTTCACCAGAAACAAAATATTTTAACATTATTCACTACAGGTACTTGTCTCACCCCATCACCCGGCGGCGCCTCGTTTCTCCTGGCCACTTCGGCCATGATGTGCGTCTCAGACGTTGGCTGCGTCAATAATTATGGACGGCCGAACAGAATACCATCAACAGCGGCTGTCACGAGAGGGGTACGCGACGTCGTGCCGCTTGCTGGCGGAACTGCGAATTATCACGTCCGGCGAGCGGGGCGCGCACACGCGAGACGTCTTCCTATCAGACGAAACGGAACGAAAAAAAAACCGAAATCCAATAATAGTTAATACAGTAGGCGCGTACGTGTGCGTGTGTGTGTCATAAGTGTTCGCTCTTCGGTCGGTAGTCGGTCGTACGATTTATTTTTTATCCCCCTATAATATAATCGGGGCGACTGCAGCAGCTACGCCGTGACCCGTACCGTAGATACCACATCCGGTATTAATGTATTATAGTGAGAGGGGTCTGCGGTTGATAAGAGCGACCCGGCGGGGCTTCAGAGTGACCAACCTAGCCGTAGGCCCTCGGGCCCGTCGCGTTGGCTGCGCCGTTTCCTTCGTCGTGGTCACGCCACCATACCGCGTACGACTACGTAGTGGGTACGTAACTCGTTTTCGCAATTTTCTAACCCCGCCTCTGCCTTACACGACGTTTTGTATGGATCGATCTTGGACTATTCTTTTGCGTACGTTTATCAACATATTATTTTTACAATAATTATTGTTCTTTCGTTTTCGGCGTTTCAAGTTTTCCGTTCCAATCTTCCACGGAATTCGTCGTCGTGCGTTACGCGGCACCATAGATAAAGAATTCATATTCCGCCCCCGCCCCTGCCCCCGGCTGACCGCTAAGCCATAGAGCAACGCAATCCGTTTCGCGCACTCGGTGGCTCGGTCGCAGGTCGCAACTCGCCACCAACGCTCCACAAGTAGGTACGAAGCTCGTCCCGAATTCTGCTTTTAGTGCGCGCGCGCAGGACGAACCACATCGATCAGACGCTGTCCCGTCGTCATCGCAAGTCCGGAGTCTTTCTCATTCCCATTTCGCCGTCCGTCCGACCGGTTCGAACTTCACAAATCGCAACATTGCGCCGTCCCGCAACAGCAGGAATACAGCCGACGACACGGTGCCCGCGACAAGAACGCGACGTGTCTGGAGACTTGTCAAAGACGCCGATGTGAGTTCACACAAACCGATTTGCTAATTGCCCGTATTTATCATTGTAATTTTAGACAACTTCGCGTGCGTCGATCCCGACGATAAATCGATTATCGATCGATCGATCTAGGTATAAGAGTAACCCATCTATAAAATAACGTGATGTATTTATAGTGTGGGGCGCCGGTGTTTTTCCGCGGGTTTTCCGGTCGTTGTAAATAATCATTAATTGTAATACATGTACTCTTATGTTTTGTGTTACAGCTTTGGCCAAGTCGACGGAAGCGAACGGCATTCGCTAGTAATTTCACCGTCAGTCCCGCGTCCCAGAAGGGCGACACCATTTATATGAAGTTTCTCGACACGGGTAAGCACACGTGTCACATTTTATGCTCGTGATTAATTTTAATGAACGATCGTCCCCCCAAGTCCCGATGCATTGCAAGTCCGTCCGATTTTCCCCGTTGTCTACGACGTGTCACTAGAATTTCGCCGATAATAACCTTGAAATCCCGTGTGTCCAACGTGTTCTATAAATACGGTCTATAGAGGTCAAACTATACGAATTATTGCTCAGCGACCATATGTTTCACGAATTCTTTCCCAAAAAAATCGACTAGAGCTTATTCCTTTCCCGCTAGACGTTGATTTGCCAATATTCCCTTTCCCCCCGAATCCCGATTCCCTGGCACTGTCGCCGGACCGAAATGTATGAGGTTAACTTTCAACCAATTTGAACGCATTTCGTCCAGGGCACATTTCACTCTTTCAGATTGGTCGTACCTACCTAATATTGTGTATAATTGTGACATTTTCCCACTTAAATCTAACCTGCCTGTATTTACTAATTTGTATTTAATTTAAGACACTATAGCCTGATATCATGTAGTTAACATTTAATTTAATATTATACTCTTTGTCAGTGTTAGTAAGTATAAGGCAGGTAGGCTACTGAGTACTAATTGAGGTACTAATTATTATCTATTATTAGTTCCATTGCAGTGTAGTAGTTTAAAATAACTATTTTGATAGGTACTTGATGCAATTACAATATTTTCATTTGAACTGTCACTATTTAATTGTACTACCCACTGCATATTAATTATATTATGTTTTATATTTGTAGAATATAATAATGAGCACTTTATAGCTTTAAACAATGATTTTCCTATTAACTTGTATACCTATTTTTTTATTTGAGAATATATCATTAATGACATATTAAACGGATCCAACGTAAATGTATTTCCGGAACCACATACAGCCCAATTATTACAGATAATATTATAATAACCTAGTTACTTACAAAATGTATTAGGTGTATTATTAGTTATTACTATTAAATATTTAAATTTGGTAATTAGGAGATACTTATATATCTATTCATCCGTGTTGTATTTAACGTTAAGTCACATTGAGGCGTGATATGAAGTATTGTAATTATCATGTTTGTATGGATTAGTTGTAGGTAGGCACAGTTGCAATTTTAGCCATTAGGTTTATTAGGTCATAGGTTATATAATTACTGATTTGATAGCTTATATAAATATTGCGTAGATAGCCTGAATAAATAATAATCTTTATTTTGAAAATAAGGAATATCCTCAGACAAAAACAATATTGTTTGATATTAATAAAGAAATGTTGTGAAAATATTAGTATATCAAAAAAGACCACAAAAGTATGATTATTTGTATACTGTAAAAACAGTTTATTCAAATGCGTTTTTAATGGTTTTTATTACATTAGAGTAAAAAATTAAAAATAATACCATCTATCTAAACTAGGTACCTAATGTTGATTTAGGCATACAATTTAAAAATTATATTTAATTGAGTCCATAGTGTTTTTATTATACTATAGTTTTAAGTGCTTCTTACAATTAAAACATATTTTTTGTGATATAATGGTACTAGTTTAATTTTTAAACAATGTAGTTTGACATCTATTTTACCTATTCACTTAATAATATTTGACAAATTTTAATGATTTATATTTTAGTATTCAGTTTTGTTTTCTTGCAATATAGTATCTTTCTCGAGAATTGAATTCACTAATTGGTTCTAAAAGAAGTTATAAATCTTAACCACTTATCTATACGTTTTGCATAATATGTTGTAGAATAAACATCAATATTATGGTTTTTAATTTATCAATTATCCATATGGCCATATCATAGTAATATTTAAATGGATAATTGAATGTTATCAGTAAATTATAAGCAAGGTAAATCTTATTAATAATAAATTAATGAAATTGTATTGACCATCTATTCGATCCCAAGCATATTATTTAAATACGAAGCCAGTCAATACTCTGACTAAAATGTATGATTTTATTTTTCATTTTAAAGGGGGGTTCACACTACACCGTGTCGTGTAAAATAATCACAGTTACCAAACGATACCGCATAGTTGAATATATTCAACTTTTGACCGTGTGGTTACATTAAGTATGAACCCGGCTTTATCTGCACATAAATGTAACCACACGGTCAAAAGTTGAATATATTCAACTATGCGGTATCGTTTGGTAACTGTGGTAACCGTGATTATTTTACACGACACGGTGTAGTGTGAACCCCCCTTAACCCATTATGAATGTATGAATTCTGATCCTGCTAAGTACCTTTTGTCTTTCATAGATTTCAATAAATCTATTAACAAAGTTAAATATTAATATACAAGATTTAAAAATAAATAATAACCTATTTAATTTTATTTACAAAAAAAATTGCCCACAGGTTTCTAGTTAGCAAATCACATAAATAAATGATATACATTTATAGTTTAGATAACAATTCAAATAGCAAATATGTTTAAGATATAACAATATAATTTATAATTACTCAATTCCTGTGTTTTACTTATAGACATTGTACAGCTTTAATAGTTATACTACTATTATTTTGATTCTTAAGAAAAATTACCTTATCTCAGCAATTACTGTTGTGTCAATGTTATATATTTATACTACCTATAATTATAAATATTTATAATGTATATTTTCCCAAGATTTTAAATTTAAAAATGTTGATTTCTTTGAAAACAAACACTAGTTAACTTATCATAGGTAATTATTCTAAAAATACCTATTTTATAATATTTTAATTTTTATGTAATGAGTGTGTAAATTATTACAATTTAAAAATGCTTTTAAAATGTATAAAAATCAAAAGATCTTTAAAAACGTAGGGACACAAAAGTTTGATAATTGGAGAGGGGAATTCACTCAGATATTAATTGTAACAACACAGAGTTGGTTCTGCTAAACATACATTTTTATGTTCCTTGGGTCAGAGAGAAAAAAAAATAGTGTACTAACATCCTCTTAATAGGTGATGCTAACATGATTGTCAATAATTATAATTTAAATTGAGTGGTCTGCTAAAATTAAAATTAAATATAATCAGTACTCATATCTTTATATCATTCATTTGTAAATAATTTACATTTTTTATTCCTTATTCATAAACTTTCATTTACTTGACGTTGGTAAATACTAACTTAAAGTGTGTTTATATTATAACACCTTCACTTTTGAATATAAAGAAACACCAAACATACCAATTGAGTTCAATACATTATTTATGACAGATTTAACTGTTGTTTGTATTTAAAATGTTTGTCTATACAGCATACACATCTACTAATGTTGTATTGTAAGGGTCTCTAAACCTTTTTACTCTACAGGCATTTTAAAATAGAAAAATCTATGCTGACCAAAACATTAATATAATCACATTTGCAATTTTAATTGTAAAGAATAGTTTAGTATTTAGTGTAGTGTAAATTTGACTAAACTTGAAAAACAGGTTTTGTAGGTTTGTTTAATATTGAACGTAGAATTAAAATATATATATGTATACATATAATACTTTATAAAAAAATAAACGATATAATATAATATAGTTCATTTTTGGATTATTTGCTGTTGTAAAGTATGCAGCATTGTCTAAATATTCGTTTTTATAGTACAACTGCAAATTTCCCATCCAACACTTGTTGTTTGAATACCCAATGGCTTCTATATCTAAAACAATTTATTAAATGCTAAAAGTTTTGCATTTATAGTTTATTTTCCGTAGAAGACCCTCTGGGAGCTGAACTAATTCATTATTTATCCATATAATTTAACAGTGTATCTTACATTATTTCAAATAAATCGTATTTTCAACTATTGATTATTCATATTAAATGTTCACTGAACTCGTTTCTAACACGCCCGAGTGCTATGCAATATTACACCGTCCCTTTTCCCCGAATCAGCAGTTAACAGCCGCTTGCAAAGTTCATCGTATTTTTTTTTTAATTCCGGAATTGTTCCTAAATACGAATTCTCCGGCATGAAAAACCGGAAACCATCTCAAATTCCGATGAACATGATCGAAATCGTCTTATCTACTGAGTTAAGCAGTAAAAAATTAGGAACACGGCGCATATTAATATATAATTATCTCTTTTGAAAATTTCTCTGCCGAAGCTTGCGAGTAAATAGTGATGGGTGTAGACGTGTAGTGTGGTACCCATTAGACAGAAGTCAGACCCACACTAGTAATTTATTGACCTGGACAAAACGACGCTCGGCGGCGTGTTCGGGCATGCCCACGAACCGCGAGTTGTCACTGGCTCGGGCCTCCTCCAGACCACCAGTAGGTATATTGATTTTACGCCGCACGGTGCACACTCTCTGGTTAGTTAGTCTGTCTGTCGTCGTCTTTCGTTGTGCACCGTGGCTCGCCTTTTTCGTTCGTAAATTATAAAAATAAAAATTCGTAACCGCAACCGTTCTCGTCGTCGCCGATATTTAAAACTGTCGCAAATCAAAATAGATTTCAGACGTCTGAAACCGATTCACTGTTTAAACATTATATTACCGAAAACCTCTCGTAAACATATGGTGGTGCTATCTCGTATAGGTGAGTGTGTGTGTGCCCTAAGTACTGATGGTCAGAAGTCGATTTTTTACCGTGTAGTTTTGATGTTTTCGTATTATGAATTGTCGAAAGTTGCAGACCATGATCGTAATAAATCTGGGTTAATATGGTTTTACTATCTTCTTTGTTTATTTATTTTTTTTTTTTAATATATTTTATTTATTTATGAATCTTGATAAATAAAAAAATACGTACCTATATTATACTTATATATTCTTAAGCCTTATATACCTGTAAAATATAATAGAAATTGGATGAATGGACGTCATGAAGTGGATTGGTAGATAATACACTAAAATGTTGTTAATTTCGGGTTTTTTCTTTTTTTAAAAATATGATGGCTTAAAAAGTGTATGTTGTTAAAAAAGATATTGTAAACAACAATAAAATTATATTTGTTTATCCTATTATAAGTATTTTTTTTCTGTGTAAAAACATAGTAACAATTATTATTTATAAAATGTTTAATTATTAGTTTTCCATTTAATGATGAAGGAATTATTTTTTTCCAGTATCGCCATCATTATCCAGAGCAAGGTCTGGGAGTTGTAAAAAGCTCATAGAGCCATTCATTGGCCCAGCTACAAGGTGCATGATTTCTTTAAAATACCAAGGTTTTAGTTTTCGGTAAATATTTTAATATAGCCATTTAAGAAGGAAAATTGAAACAAAATTTTACTTTTTAAATGTCTTATTTTTATAGAAATTTGTTGGAACAGGACATCAAAATACTGCTGCAACCGACACAGGAAATCGCAACCATTCAGGGAAACGTGACGGGTTACACTTAATATAGGAACAATACAGCTGCAATCATGGGTAGCTTAAATGTTAATCGGAATGTCAGCGATGCATTCTATCGATATAAAATGCCTAGACTTATGGCTAAAGTCGAAGGCAAGGGTAATGGCATCAAAACCGTAATTGTCAATATGGCTGAAGTAGCTAAAGCTATTGGAAGACCGGCTACATGTAATTTAGAACCAAAACTTTTAGCTTATATACAATATTAAATTTTTTTTTATTATTTTTTCAGATCCAACTAAGTTCTTTGGCTGTGAATTAGGTGCACAAACTCAATTTGACTTTAAACATGATAGATTTATTGTAAATGGAGCTCATGATGCTGGTAAACTTCAAGTAAGTGTACAATTTAAATTAATTAATTCATATTTTTATATTATTTAACCATTACAATTTTATATTAACTAAATTATTATTTTTAGGATCTTTTGGATGGTTTTATTCGGAAGTATGTATTATGTCCAGAGTGTGATAATCCTGAAACTGAATTGATGATCAGTACTAGAAAGGGAACAATACATCAAGGTTGTAAAGCTTGTGGTTATTATGGTTCTTTGGAATCTAATCATAAACTGAATGCTTACATATTGAAGAATCCACCAAGTAAGGGTTTTGGTTTTATACGTTTATACAATAATTTTCATATTAACCTCTTAAATTATAGATTTAAATCCAGCAGCTCAAGGATCATCTTTAACTGAAGGAAAACGTAACAAGCGTTCTAAGAATGGTGGCAAAAACGGTGAAGGAGGCAGGTCTAGTTCTCCAGAAGACAACAATTCAGAATTGATTGTTGAAGCTCCAGGAAAATTAGCTGAAGACGTAAGCTTTAAAATTCTTTAAGATTTAGCACATTGATATTCACATTTACATCATGATAGTATGTCGTGACTATTCAGCGAAAATGCCGCGTTAATGCATACAAAAATGCAAGGAAAGCAAACTAAGCTGTTTCTAGATAAATATTGATCAAATATTATAATTTATTGAGACCATCTGTATTATTATTGATACCATTTCTAAATATAAACGACATGCCATGCGCGTGAAGTGTATTATTATTACTAACATATTTCATTTTTAATAAATTTAGGACAGTAATGATAATTGGGCTGTTGATGTATCTGAAGCGGCAGTTAGAGCTCGTATGCAAGATTTAACTGACGGAGCTAAAGGATTAACCATTGATGAAGATACAGATAAGACTGAAAAAGAAAGAATGGATATATTTTACAACAAGGTAATAATTTGGTAGTTAAATATAAAATTAATATTACCCATTAAACTGAAAATGTTAGTGGCTAATATTTTAACAGTGATTTAATAAGTAAATTTAATTTGGTTATAATAGATAATTTTTAGAAGAACTAATAAATAATATAATAACCGGATCTGTTTTGCACCTAAAATATAAATAAAATTACATCTGCAAATTGAGGCTGTTCTTTACATTATAAAATATATAAGCACAATTAATGGTGACAATTTATAGAAACTAACAATTTGTATCTAATATTATCTATATCTACAACAAATAAATGTATATTGCAATATTTTTAATGATGAATGTCATGATGATATTATGAATTAAAAAAAAAAAAAAATAGTTAACGAATAAAACTAGATTTTGATGTTATTTTATTAAAAAAAACCAAATTATACATTAATTGAGTTTAAAAGTTTAGCTTATTGTGTTTATGAATATATTATACCTATTACAACATAATAAATACGATACATGTTTTATAGGTTCAAAAAGCACGTGATTCCGGTTTAATTTCAGATTCAGTTACAATCAAAGAAATTGTGGCTGAAGCTGAGCGTTTAGAAGTAAAGAGCAAAGCTACATTAGTGTTAGCTGAACTATTGTTTGATGATAAAATCCATTTGCAGGTACATAAGCAAATATTATTATGTGCTCTTGATAACAATCATTGATTTTTATGTACGTATTAATATCGTTGTTGTTTTTGGTTTTAGTTGAAAAAACATCGTGTCTTGTTTTTACGTTTTTGTCATGAGGATCAAAAGGCTCAAAGATATTTATTGGGAGGAATAGAACAAGTGATTGGACTCCATAAAAGTAGTTTGTTGCCAAAAGTTTCTGCTATACTAAAGGTATTTTTTTTCTACCCAATTCGCTATTATTTTTGATTTGATTAATTATTGTTTATTTATTTCTAATGTTTAGTTATTCTACGATGCCGACATTTTGGAGGAGGCTGTATTATTAGACTGGGCTAGTAAGATTAGCAAGAAATATGTCTCCAAAGAACTTAGCCAGGAAATACATAACTATGCTAATCAGTTCATTACATGGTTACGTGAAGCTGAAGAAGAAGAGGAGAGCGGAGATGACAGTGATGATGATGTAGAGGTAAAACATTTATTATTTAAATTTAGCATAAGTTTGATATATTTCGTTTGAATTTTTGGTGTATTTGTTTTATTGATATTGATAATGAAATAATAAATTGAATTAGTCCTTCCAATTTTATCAAACACGGCTATTTATCATTTATTGCAATTACTTTTTTTCAGATTGAATATAATGACCGTGTGCATACTAGCACATTAAAAGCAAAACCCGTACTGCCAGTTGCTGTCAAATCCAATGCTGATGATAATGAAGATGATGTTGATATTGATGCCATCTAAAAATATCTTAGTGGACAGAACACGCAAAATTTAATTATCCAAATAAATTTAGTTTACAATATTCTATAATCAAATATACACTGCAGAACCAACTAATTAATGTTCAACATTTCATTTACCAGATTCTAATTTACAATATATATGAAATTAGGTTACATTTAAAGTCCTTTGTATCCTTTGTTTTTTTTTTATTATTATTATTTATTTATAATTAGTAGGTTACTGCGAATATGTTTTACTAAGTGGCTATTCACTATTATACAAGTGAATGATGCCATAAGCTAAAAATGTACTAAATTACAGTAGCCATTAAAATAAATATTTCCAGTAATTAAAAATTTATTATGTGACTTTATTTTAGTTTTTACTACCCAGACACTGACAATTATATTGTAACACTAATCAGCACAACATATTTGTACAACATGGATTTATGTCTCAAATACTTTAAACATATTTTGATTCAATACAAATGAAACCCTACATAATAATGTTATTTTTATTTCATCATCATCATCTTACAATGTAAAATAACTTCTATTAAACTAGAAAACAAAATATTTTAAAACGACATTACTGTATTCAGTTGATGGAAGAATAACGCTGTGCCTAGATTCCCAACCATCATAGATGAGAATGTATAATGATAGCTATCATCATTCATCAGCCATACTATAGACATATTAATATTTCCTTACGATGCCATCAGTCTTTCTGAGTATTTCCGAATGTTATTGTAATCCGTTGCTGCAGATCCAAGAGTAATTTTTGCATTTACATATGTGTGATCATAGGATGGTATTAAATTGATTAATTAAGTATCTGAAAGAAAAACTTGTTTATTGTGTACACAGAAGAGATAAGCACAGGCCAGGCCGTGCCATAATATAAATATTGCAGGTTGGTATGAGGGTGGGATCGCAGTATTTTTCTTTGGTAAAAAATAAAACTATGTAATTTAATTGGTAACACAGTTAGAACTGGGTTCACCAAAAATAAACCAATATATTATATAAGTTATTTTTTTTTTCGCCACTAATAGCAGTTATTGTCAATATTATAGTTATATAAAAAAATTACGAATGGACTAGGTAGGGTGCAGGCGTGGTTTTTATAATTCAATCGACTCAGTTTACGAAATTGTTTCCCACTTCCAGCTAGCATGGGGTGGGAGGGTCTAGGGTTCTCCCCTCTACCTAGTGTATTTATGAAATACAACAAATTCGAAAATACATAACACACTTTAAAGATTTCAATATCATTAAATCCTGACACTTAAGCTCGGATAATATGTTTACCTTAAAGTTTGAGATCTGGGTACCTAATTATTTTAGTTATCAACAGAAAGTTGTTTCAGCTATAGTATACATTCAATCCTCGAGTTATTGAAAATTGATGGTTTCAAGTTGTGTCTGTCATCGCCTCTTAGGACAGTTAAAATGTTATTTAACTGTTCCTATCTTTTCTGATAGAAAATTGAATCTAGTTGGTACTTTAGGTGATCAAAGATGCCAGTAGTTTTCAAAAGCGCCTGGAAAAACAAATGAAAATTAAAGAACAACGGGAATTTTTACTCAAAATCGGTTTTTGACAAAATGTTAGTTTGTGGTTTAACACAAAACAGATAGCCGTAGATATATGGCATTTTTACTGAATGTTTATATTATCATTTTCTGTATATTATACAGTTTTAAGTGTATATTGTGTGGCAAGGGCGGGAAGCACAAAACTGAAATGGCCTTCCCCCCGCGAGCCACAGATACTATTTTTGTCACGCCTATAACGATATGTGCGCCAAGCACATTTTGGGATTTCCACTTTACCCGGCACTATTAGAGATTCCCACTTAACCACCCGCTGGATGGAAAATGGACGCTATCGAAAACCAAACTTTCGGTGCACGTGTGACAAAAAAATATTTTAACTTGTGTTGATCTATTTATACGGACGTTTTCAGTTTTTTGATGGCAATAAAATTATATTCGTTGGGTCGAATTGCTTAACAAATGACAATTTAATACAAAGCTCCTAATAGGTATATTGTTACAATTGAAAACTTGAAAATATTAAAAATACAGTCACATTTTTTAAATACCTAGGTTTTTAAAGTTCGAATTTTGACAAAAAGGTAAAAATTACTAACATTTGCAAATTATTTTCATAATGAGTTGGAAATTCATAAAAGTTTTTCTTTTAAAATCTAATATTTGAACATTTAATACAAGAGTTCTCATAAGTGTTGTATATTTTTATCGACAAAAAAAATGTCTACCGAAAAGTCAAATTGAATTCTTATGTGGGTATGTGTGTTTGAACTTCAAATTTTTACAACAAAGGATATTCACTTGATTTCTCATGAAGAGATTTTCTTACTTTCTTGTAATTCAAAAACGAATAACTAAAAACTAAAAAAGGTGCTCTGCTGTAGGTACAGTAGGTACCTAGTAGGTTACAAGCGGGTCACTGTATAATGGATGGTATTAAATTTGAATTCAATGATGTAATATACTAATATCATTGTATAAGAAAAACGATTCCGAGCAGAGACTATGTCAGTCTAGGTATAAGACATATTATATACTTATCTAAGGAATCTATATGGAAATTTACACCACACATTTATTTTATCAATTCCTATAATGGAGAAAATTTTTCAAATACTTTGAGTTGTTGACGCATATTTTCAATTTTCAATTTAAGATTCTGAGTGGAACTAAAAACAGTGGCGTATTTACGGGGGTGGTCCAGGGGTACTGGACCCCCCCCAGAATCTCTCCAAAAAAAAAAAATGTATTAGATATTTGCAAACCCCGATATTTATGTAAGCCCACGCAGACAAGGTTTTTTCCCGTGAACAAAATATTTATATGAAATATTAGTTTAAAATTAGCCAACGACCGAACGTTCAAAAACCCGTGTAACTAAACTTATCCTTGTATTGTAGTATTACACTTTATAAAATACCCATATTAGATAAACATCAATAATTCTCAAAAAAGTCAAAACATTCTTATCGCAAGAAATTGACGACGCACATCATTCTCCAATAAACTATTTCTATAGGACAGTATAGCTGGTAGCTATTATTTATCTATTTGAATTTTTGCTTTGTAAACACGGCAATTGTCGTAGAATCATTTACTAATATTACTTCATGTTTGTATTTTGTTACCGAACGACGGAGTCGGCTACGAGTGCAGCATGTATTTGAATATTATTTCTTCAATAAAATATATTAGATCTATTACTTATGTAAGTACAAATTAAATATACACCTAGTAAATTATGTAGTAAATAATAATAATAGCTCATTGATCCGATGTGAGCAGTAAAGAATTTATTATTTTTTATAATAACATAAAACATTAATGCAGTGCTGTAACTAGGCTACTTGAGGTCTGTGTGCAAAACCAAAATATTGAGGCCCCTTATTATCTTTTTCAATACACACCTCAAAAACTTTTTTTGCAATTTTTAAAGTCAGCAGGCAAAAATTCGGGCTTAAACAAAAAAAAATTTAAATTTATATTTAAAATAATCTATAATTTTAAAATAATTTCTCAAGGCTATAAATAACTCAAAAAAGTAAAAATTTCCAAAATGTAATTTATTGAAAATATTAATATAAATATTTGGTGAAAACTTCAATGGTCTACGGACTACGGTTGTTCGTTTTCGAGTTATACCAAAAAATAACATTTTTGTTTTAGGTAAAAATGACAATTTTTTTTTTTTGACACTTTTTAATATTTAAAACTAAAAATTTCGGTTTCGATCTAAAAAAGTACCAACTAGATTCACTTTTCTAACAGAAAAAATGCTGATCTCGAAATTCGAAATATTTTTACTACCCAATGTTGATGACCGACAGAAATGAAAAAAATTATACACATCTTGTAAAATCAGTACATTTGTTCGTTCCTCTCAAAATCTAAAAACAGTGATCACGACTCCAGGCAATATAAAAAAAAAAATGAAATAACATTGGTTTCGTTTCCAAATCAATAATAAATAATTTATATATTTTAATAATTTTATATTAGTTTAATATTAGTCTTTAGATCTTTTGAGGCCCTTCGATATATATATGAGGCCCGAGGCCTGTGTGCGGTGCACACTTTGCACACCCGGTTTTTACGGCACTGCATTAATGTAATTTTTGGAGTCTACTGGCCGACAATTAGTATTCATTTAGAACCATGTTTACCTACTTAGTATTTATTTTCTGTGCAGAGGTTAGCAGAGTGATATGGACGACTGTCGTCATAAAGTCATATTATTTCTACAATTTAAACCTTTCATTATTTTTACGTGTTAACACGAAGTTGACAACATAATATTATTAAACGGCTATCGAAATAATATTAATTGTCAACGTGTACTGAGAATAATTATTGTCTCTCATTTGTGATAGGTGTAAATACAGATTTGCCAAAACCTAACATTTCATAATTATTTAATAAATGCTATCAAATTTATTTTTTTTATAGTTGTATAATTTATAATTTATTTGTATCCATTTATTGTTTGGAAATTGGAATTGGAATAAATATGTCTTCAAATAAAAAAATAAAACTTTGTAAAAAAAAAGACACTTGGATTTTGTACTTGAAAATTATAAAATATAATAAAACAACTATTTTTTATTCTTATAATCTATTAAAAACTATTTCTATAAATCAGTACCTATATCTATATTATGTTGGAATTATTGGACCACCCCCAGAAAAAAATTGAAAATACGCCACTGACTAAAAATGTAGTGATTTTACAATGATTTTAGATTCTGAGGGAAACGATGAATGTGTTGATTTTACAATGATGTGTGTTTTTTTTAAATTTTTTAAATTTTAAATTTTCTTTTGTATCTGTCATTATGTTTTAGGACAGTAAAAGTGCTTGTATTTTCTTCAACAGTAGCTTTTCTGATATAGGAAAGTGAATCTAGTTGGTACTTTGGGGGGTCAAAAGTAAAAATTTCCTAGTAGTTTTCAAAAGCGCCGTGAAAAACAAAAGAATAATTAAGGAAAAACGGGAATTTTTACGCAAAATCTGTTTTCGAGAAAATCGATTTTGGTTTTTGGTGTAATTTTAAAACAAATGACCGTAGATAAGTGAAATTTTCACTGGTTGTTTTTATTTGCATTTTCTATACACGATAACATTATCAAAATGTTTTGATTTATTTTGAACTGTTTAGGCACATTTTCATTTTCCATTTTTTTTTAGTTTTTTTTCTAAAAATATCAATAAAATTTTATTTGTTGGTTAAAAAAGCTTGAAAATTTAATACAAGGCTCCTTCTATATTGTTACAATGGCATTTAAAAAATATTAAAAATCCTTAGTCACAGTTTTTTTTTATAAGCATTTAAAGTCCAAAAATTGACAAAATATGGAAAAATCACGAAAATTAGCAAATTATTTTGAGATAAGAATTCGTAAAAATTTTTCTTTTTAAATCTAAGGTTTTAAAATGTGATACAAGATTTCTCATAAGTGTATCTATATTTTTATCAAAAAAAAAAAAATGTCCACAAGCAAATCAAATTAAATTTTTATGGGTGTATAGTATAGTCAGTATAGACTATAGACAAATAACTAATAATAGGTACATATTATATTAAACTTGTCGCGGTGAAATGAAGACGGGGTTTGAATTTTATACGTTGCGCTTTTGGGAGTAAACGTAGTTATATGCTTATTGCTTCTAGGTCACCCAGTTAACAGATTGCCCATGGTGTCGTGTCAATAAATATTTTATTTAAGTCTAAAAATAAATTTAAACCCTAATAAGGCTCGGTCAAACAGAAAGCGATCTGCCACGGTGCCGTAGGTACGCTGTCCGCCATCCGTCCGCGGCGAACGGTCCTCGCGGTTGTATTATTTTACAGTGTCCGCGAGGACAGACCGCTTCGTGTTTGACTGAGCCTTAAGATAATATGAAAACATACCATCGCGTAAACATCGACTCTTCCAGTGAAACTTTTAAAGTATATTATTATATTTCATACACATAAATGCAATGTTTTCAAAAATTAATTCAACCTACCCATCGATAGGCACTGTACCTATTATTAATAGTAATCATATCATAAAATGTACTTAGACACTTAGGAATAATGCCATATTAATTACCTATATTATTATAAATACTAGTACCTTATAGTACCTACCTATTTATAATCAATGGTAATAGTGTAATACCTATATAATCATATCGCCGATAGATCTTTTTCACTCAGAATTGTCTTTTGTATACAATGATATTATAATATTATTTATACATATTGAATTCTTATTTTACACTTAAAATGTACAGCCGAACAGTATCCACTAGCCCATATTTCTATCATTAATTATAATTTATAATCAATTATGAACAAGTATTTTTAATCAATGATAAGACTATTCCAGACCCTAATCAAAAATCTAAAATAATTTATTCATCATGTATTTAATAAAGGTAACCAATGTTATAAAAAACCTCGTAAAAAATAATTCAATACTATACAATTTATAATCAAATATTCATAAAAAGTATTTTAAATATTACTAGTTTTTAAAAATGCATAGGTCGAAATATACTGTTACAGAGACACTGCGAGTAGGTACTTAAAATACCAAAAATGCCTGTGGGCTGTGGCCAGGGACGGGTTTAAGGTTGTGGGGCCCCCAGGGTCCATATAATATTGACAAACTTACCCCACACTGCAAGAGGTACTTATTTTGTGGGGGCTTCTTATTAATTGAATTTTTGAAAGGCATCGGTCAACCGAGTTTTAAGTCAGAAGGGTTAAAACTTTTGTTTAAAAAAAATGTTTTTTATGCTCTGAGCTCTGACCTATCGTTATAATTACTATTCACGTACAAAGATAATATGTTTGACAAAATTAGGTAGGTAGAATCTTAATTTTGTTATAACATGACGTATTGTAAAATTGATTTCATGACTTCTGAAAAACCTACCATAGAGTCATAGAGACTTAAGATAGACGACGACGGTACGGTAAGCATCTACTTTTGGATCTAATTGTTGTATAAGATCTTTTTTTAAAATTATGTAAATATTTCACTGCGGGGACTTTAAAAAAAAAGGCCTTGGGTGTATAGGGTTTTTATCTGCTTATTAATAAGTTAGCGCCGGTTATTAGCTAGGCTGCCGCTGCGAATAAAGTCTAGTCAAGACTATGTTTTGTACCTTAAAAATATTGGTTTGGATATAATGTTTTAGTTACGAACTAAGATATACCTACTTAAGGTACTTAAGTACCTATATCTTAGTGCAGCGGTTCTCAAACTTTTTTTTTCGCGTACCACTTAAGTATATTATCAATCAGTCGCGTACCACTGATGATTAAAAATAGAACAATACAAACTTTACATAGTTAAACTTATGTTAAACTTAGTGTTTAAAAATTAAGATATGAATTAAATAACAAATTTTCAATGAGAACCATGGATATTATATTATATTTATATACGTACATACGCGATAAAATATATCAATGATTATAATATACGATATCTTATTTATTGACGTAGATTTCCCTTGAAATCTAACCTTTATTATCTGAGTATTAAAAAAAACACACTACATGTCTACATTGTAAAATCATCGCTACGCTAAGGATCTAATATTAATTGTTTTTCATTTTCCGTAATACCACCATGCGGCCTTCCGCGTACCACCATGTAGTCTTTCGCGTACCACTAGTGGTACGCGTACCACAGTTTGCGAACCGCTGTCTTAGTGGTTTTGGTATAAAAAAACACTGTATTTCGCGGGTTTTTTTTTGTCCGCGATGCGATACCTGTTGTAGACAGGCTGTACGGAAAAGAAATGTCCGTCTTTCTCTCCTTTTTGATATTGGTGTTACTGTGTAGGTATTTTTTCTGATCGAGTTCCTATAATCTTATCTATTGGTCGACTGTTTTTGCACTTTGTGATAACATTAGTCAATATTGAATGTAGTGACTAATATTAGTTAATAGTTATTCACGTGTAAAACTGTAAAATAATTATTAAGGTAGGTTGTATCAACTTGATGATTGTATTGTCGTATTAAAAATTTATAATTGGAGTCGTGAGCTTTACTCATAATATTGTTAATAAAGTTTTGATTATTTAATTTATCGTTGTACATCGCTGAACATCTGTTAATTAATTACTGAAGTAAGTAATTCTTGATCGTGGTTAGACTCCTGCTTGGAAACACTAGTGTCCAACACAAATTATCAATAATTATAAGAAGAATATATTATTTTTTAACGTTTCCTGTTTAATAACCGTAATGGACGTGCTTAATATAGGTTGAATGGACAAAGACTCGACATTCGTCATCTAGTTTAATGTCTCAATCGTAGATAATAAGTATGGAATACTTCTTAGTTCTTATACATTTTTGTGTTAAAATCTTTATGTACTATAGGTAATTACAAAAGAGGACTGTGACCAAATAATTTTTTTCCAACGACCTGTTGTCACTGTCGGTATAACTATTAGTAGGTACACTTATAATTCCAAAATTATATTTTGGTAAACTGTATAAGGCTCTTATTAATTGAAGTATGATCGTATGCCATGTAAAAATATTAAGAAAATAGATGACCCTAATTTACTTTTTTTAAATTTTATATCTAGAATATTTGATTAAATCTACTTGCTTGTGTCTAAATTGTTAATACAATACCTTTGACTATATTATTATACAGATAGCACAGTATTATATTAGTATTTTATAATTTGTTTTAAACAACATATATTTTTTTTTAATGATACCTAATGCATTTGAATTTTTATTTTTATTTTTATTTTTTTCAGAAAAATGACTTCCCCGTACCAAGGGGCATTGACATGTGTTACATGTCAAATCGTGTTTGAAAATGGTGATACACATCGTGTACACTATAAAACAGACTGGCATCGTTATAATCTGAAAAGAAAAATCATTAATCTTCTTCCTGTTGACCGGCCCACATTTGAATCCCGAATACTGAGTCAACAGATCAAGGAGAATGAAGAAAATGCTAAGAGTTCGATTTATTGCACCATTTGTAGGAAATCCTATAATTCACAAAAGTCGTTCGATAGTCACTTATCTTCTAAACAGCATAAAACTTTAGCGTTGCAATCAGACAATGAACATAAAGATATTGGTGTACCAGCTGCCAAGAAAATAGTTAAACCAGCTGAGAATAAACCTGTTGAAGAGAGTGATGATGAGTATGAGGATGTAGATGACGATGAAGAATGGGGTGAAGTAGTCAGCGATAACAATCCCATAGTCAACAATATATGTTTATTCTGCCCTCAGGGCAGTGAAAACTTATTGCAAAATATTAAACACATGTCTGACGTTCATTCATTTTTCATACCTGATGTTGAGTATCTGGTCGATATGAAAGGATTATTGGTATATTTAGGCGAAAAGGTATGTCAAGGATATATGTGTTTATGGTGTAATGATTCTGGAAAAAATTTCCATTCGATGGAGTCTGCACAAGCACACATGATTGATAAAGGTACTTTTGCCAAATAATAAGGTCTTATTAAGGCAAATAATAAAATTTTATTTTAAATAATTTTAGGTCATACTAAAATGATTCATGAAGGTGAAGCACTACTTGAATACTCAGACTTTTATGACTATTCAGCTAGTTATCCAGCAGACACACCTCTAGATGATTATCGTATTGTTGAAGATGTTACCTCTCAATTAGTTCTTCCTTCTGGAGCTAGAATTGGAAAACGATCATTAATGCGATACTACAGGTACAGATAAGGGGATAGAATAAATGTTCTCAATTTTACCAATATATATCACAATATTTTAGTCTTTTGTCTAGAATATTGACAAAATAAAATGTAAATTAATTATTATTAATTTATTTTAGGCAAAACTTGAATCCAAATCACGATTGGGAAGCCATGAAGGAAACAAAGCTGAACAAAGTAATCAATCATTACAGACATATTGGATGGACAGGAACTTTCGCTGCTGCTGCTGCTAGGTAAAAATTGATTTCAATTAAAATGCAGCTAGTCAAATAAAGGCAATTTTAGCTACTGTCATAATACAAAAAATATTGTATTTAGAACCTGGATTGCCTGACAAAACTAGGATTTTCGTTAGACTGATTTTTATTTTGAAAACTGAATTATATTTATTAACTTATTTATTATGTGTCAATCAATCAATTTTTAATATTTGTTTTTCAGCTAAAATATCAATGAACTTAAAAATAATAATTTTTATTAGAACAAACAATTTTTTACTTAGGTTTAAAATATATAGTTGACTTGTTAACGATGCCCGTTAATTTTCACCAATTAAAAATAAATCACAATACAATTTATAAATTATACTCATACGTGACACACACATCAATGTTAATTACCTTGGCATACATTAACAAGTCATCAAAGTCAGAATGTACTATCATTTACTAAACTTTATATTTTTCCTACAAACACAGCCAACTGCAGTATATTTTATCAAAATACATTTTGTACATTAATAAGAAAATCAAAAAAAAATCATGATTACAGTTTTAAATGAACTAATGGTACATTTTTTGCTTTCTGCGTGTAACTTAAAAGTAAACATATATTAAGAATTTTATTTTTATTTTCCAAATTAATTTAAACTTAACCTAGCCATACAGTAAAGTAGTTAAATATTTTCAATTGTTTGGTATAATTATGCTGACATATAAACCACAGTACCACATATTGTTTATATGGAACACAGTGGCGAGGTAGAAAAATAGGTACTACAATTTAGACCATAAATTGACATTCTACGTCTCAACTAGCTGAGGGAATATTCAACTAAATTCTAAGACATTACAATTGGTTTCAATTTATTTTATAAAATTATGTTAATATGTTTTTACAGGAAAGCCAGAGATTTGAAAGTTATGAAGCACGTCCAATCAAAAATGTACATGCAATTAGGAGTGAAAGCCAACAAGTTCCAAAAGCATTACCGCGAGCAAGTCAATTTTTAGATTTGATTTTATATTTTTCAAAATACTTAATACAAGTTGGTTTTTTATAAATAGCATTAAAATATTATTTTTTTTATGTTATTTTTAAAATAAACTAACCACAATTAAATGATTATAGCTTTAATTTTATTTAATTGTTTATACCCTTCCATTTCAAATGTTTTGGTAGACATATTTAAGAGCAAACTTTCAGTATTTGATAAATTTTCAAGGCAAAATATACTATGATAACTGTACGAAATTCATGTAGCATAGATCGGGGGTGGCCAACTTCAATATACTTTTGATCAACTGAGTTTTCCCAGTTTGTCGCAATTGACAATAAACAAAAATATATTTTATATACATGCATGTTACATTTCTTTTATTTAGAATATAAGTAAGTACCAATAACGTTAAATTTCACAGTTTTACACAATACTTGTTTTAATATATTTGATTATTTATCGGACATTTAAAAAAATTGAAGATAATGTGAAAGGGAGTTGCTTTCAACTTGAACTCATATTCTAATTGACTTGTTTGTTACCCCTGGAATAGATTACATACTAAAAATTATAATGTTTAACTTGTATGTAATTAAAATGTATAACCTTTCGGGTATCAGCACACTATAAATCTCTTTTTGATAAAAACACTAGGCTTTTACTTATGCAATTATATTTTACTTGGGGGTGGATGATCACCGAGTTGCAGAGGGTGAAGACTGCTCTTCCAAACACTATAACATTATAATTATTGATTTGAGTATACGATGTAGAAGTAATATTATTATCTATACTCTGTTCAAATTAAGAATCAATAAAATAACATAAAATATTATATTTTATACACACAATTATGATTTATGATATTTTCAAAGGTAATATTTTCGGAAAAAATGTATTTAACCTATTTTATCACTATTATAGTAAAATAAATTACCTATACTTTATTAATTATTAGTAATAATATCATAAAATAAACTATAAAAAAAATAGTATAGTTATCATCATAGTATATTAAATGAGTTTGGACTTCTAAAAACGAGATTTGGTATTTTGATAAACCTTAAGATAAACAACTAGTATTGGTGAAAGTCCAAGTTTTTTACCAATTGTGTAATATTTTTTCCCTTTGCGTTATACTCCTATACATATAATTACAATAGTATACATTAACTTAAAAATAATAAATATTATTATTTAATATTTAAGTATATTTGGTAGGTATTACATTAGCTACTACCTATACTATCTACTTATAATAGATGTGTCCACACATTTATATTACTATTATATTTATGTATCTATAATATTATTGTGTCAACAAATTTATATTTATATTATTAAATATTATAGCAAAAAAATATAGTAAAGTAAGTATATTTGTATTACAAACATTATTTATTTGTGTAGGCTCAGTGGTGCAACTTCATAATAAGGGGCCCATTTGAACATTTCTAGACCGGGGCCCTTACCTGCTAGCAAGAATGAAATACAGTCCTAACCTAACCTTATTGTAACTTTAAAAACTGTTGCTTTCTCACATGTAATAGTTAATAGTTACTAGTTATAATACCTACAATATACCTAAGTTTACACAGGTTTCTCGCATGGGTGGTACGCGTAATTCGAATTCTCCAAACTTAAAAGAGTAAAGACATTATTATTTAGTGTGATTATATTAAACAAATAATATGATAAGACATATTATATTATTTGTATTATATTGTAGTAGCTGTCCCGCCCGACGTTGTCCAGGCCAAAGATTTGTATTTTTAATGAATATATTTGTGCAAAATGTATATGCCATATTTCATCTAATTATAATATTAATATAATATGTAACGAATTGCAACCATTTAGATTGACAAAAAAATTTCTTTTATTGTATGCTAAAAAAAATCATGTGTGAGCTATACCCATAACCTATCTACAGCCTATATGAGTTGAAAAATTAAGCTATATGCCCATATACACCCTCCAAGTTTCAAGTAATAAACTATTGAAATAACTTTTATTGAACACTGTCATTTTTTGAGGCTATTATAACTTCGGATAAACCAACATCCAATTTTAGGTGTACCTATATCCCAGTTTTGTCCGCCAAAAAATGAAAAAAATACAATATTTACCTAGTTTATCTTGGTTTTTTTGTACCTACCTAGATACCTCGGTTCACAGATAAATTTGGGTTGCTTTGCGAACTAAATCAACTTAGATGGACGATTTATTTGTGGTGGATTGGGTATAGGCTAAATAGCACTTGGTATAAATCGAACGTGGTTCAAACTACTCTTTATACTTTCCTGGTATCTCCAAGAACAATTTAGAATTGACACAAATTTGGTCAAGTAGTTTTTGAGAAAATATAAAATAGCTACAAATATACATTCAACTCTCATATTTGTTTTAAGATATAATTTCTTTATTCGAAACCATAAGCATGCGTGACGATTTTATGGATCCTTTTACCTCATCTGCCAGAGTAACGATGGCAAACAATTAAGATACTAATTTTTACGATAATTATTTCTCCTATAACCAATAGCAAGCCAACCATTCATAAACAAAAATGTCAATCATAAATCTCAAAATAGGTACATGTTCGAGCACCTCTCCGAGTTGAACCAACTGGTAATTGTGAATCTAAACCATTCAGGGACTCACTCAAAAACACACAAATCATGTCCAAGTGGTTTAGGAGGAGATCAATAACATACAGACAAACGTTTATTTATATATGTATAGACATTGATTATTATTACTTTCGTCTACCCAATTAATTTTACTAAGGAAAATTATTATACATCAAAACCTTTCCCGTGACTCGACAGATTTATTAGCGAAAACCGTATTAAAATAAGTAGAGTTCTTTTCGAGATATGCTCTTCCATACAAAAAGGGGCTTCTATTTTATAATATATATATAGATTATATTATATTACCGGGGGCCCCAGTGAATTGCACACCCAACTGCACTCTCGATAATTGCGCCACTGTGTAGGCTTGACTACTGTGGAATCTCGAGTTGCACAATACATCTATTAGGATCGGCACTTACATCCGTTTGTAATACATTTTTTCAAACAGTCAAACCGTAATACCTTATATTAAACCTTGTCCACCAGTCTAAAATAATTTTCGATACTGTTTAACGAATACCAATTTCATTATCTGGAACTATTGCCGATTCTAATAAATTGTTCGTGGTTCGACCAAACTATTTTGTGTATTCTAGGTTTTACCGAAATCCAATTTCCGAAATTCGGACATTTACCGACATCAGTCGGTGAGACGTAGGGCTAGTATATATTACCCGTGAAATCTACTATCTAGGTTTTGTACTTTTACCATAACAAATATATACATACCCAGGTTCAGCTGGTAAAAATTATGTATTTTTACATATTACCTAGGCCTAAAAATAAAAAATTGCGATATAAATTTCACACACACATATAATATACTTATATACAGACATTATACAGTAATAATCACTGAACAAGGCTGGCGAAGAAAAAAAAAATTAAAACCTAACGCTGACGTCTGCAGACTGAAATAAAACTAGGTAGTAACTAGTATTATCTTAGGCGTGTCTACGGTGGCAGCCTAGGGTGCCTGGGCTGCCCCTTCAATTTTTGAAAGGTGCCGGTCAACCAAGTTTTAAATCAGAAGGGTCACCATTTATTTATTTTTTTTATTTTTTTTTTGTTTGTATCGTTATAATTATTAATTACCATTTACTTACAAGGATATGTCCAACAAAATTAGGCAGATAATATCTTTATTTAACATGTATTGTCAAATTGATATCCTGACTTCGGAAATCGAAAACCTACTATAAAGACTTGAGATGGTACGTTTCGCATATAGGTATTATTGATATTACTGTTGTATTATGTTTGATTTGTAGCTAGATGGTGTAATCTAAGGCTGTAAATAAATAGGGATCAAAATTTCCAAAAAAAAAACCCGGGGTTTTTAACCGTTTTTCGGAAAAATTGGGAAAATTTGGTTTCATTTAAAATTTCCGGATTAATAATAATAAATAATTTATAATAATATAAAAATATATTATCGTATCCCGCATTTCCGCCAATTATGTTTTGTTGTTATGTATTTTTCTAATAATTATTAATTAATATTGTCATTACTCATTTGTCAATCGTGCGCTGTCTATATATTTTTTACAACTTACAAGTAATATTAATTATATAACATTTAAAAATACAGGTGATTTATTTTCGGGGAAATGCACCCTTCCACATAAATACCAATTTGATATGTAGGTAACTATGTTATTTTTAGAACAAATATTGAAATAGCCGTATTATATTTTTAATTTTTAATTTTAATACAGTAATACATTGATATAACCGTATTGGCAAATGTGAAATAACAATGACAGGTTTACTTATGTATTTTTTAAAATGGTTTTTTTTTACATACCTATGTTATTTTAATTTTAATAAGCTTAATTCAATTTTTTAATTTTCCGAAATTTTCTGGTATTTTGATTTCTATAGATGCATAATATTTCTGAAGTTACTGTAGATTATTATTGTAAATAGATAATTTAGACTTTTTTTTTAAATAATATAAATATTTCATTGTGTAGGGGGGGCTTAAAAAAATACGGTTTTTGGTGTATAGGGCTTTTTCGGTTCACTAATAAGGTAGCGCCGATCATTAGCTAGGCTGCCCCTGCCGATGAAGTCTAGTCACGCCTATGATGTATTATAATATAGGTAATAGCAAATAAATGTAGAAATGGCTGTTTAAGGAGTCATCCGTATTCCGTAGTGAACGAGTGAAATACCTATAATACTATATATTGTCAAGTTTAAACTTGAAATGACTAAATGAGTAAAAAAAAATTGTGGCTATACATATTTTACAGTATTTTTATAATGTTATAAAAAAAAACTTTAGTAAGAGGATGCTTAAGCCAATGCTCCACGGTGTGCTTGTGTCGATACTCGATGATATAGTTGTTCTCACTACCTCATAGTTTCT